GGTGACAGTTGCAATTAAACATTAATAAGCAATCACCCAACTAAGAAGTTATATCTTCCAATAAATCAAACTAATAGTACAACTAGAAATCACAAAACTACATCGGATATGTATCCGGTAATTCATAAAAGTCCCAATCAATTCTATTGTTCGAAATAACTCAAACAAAGTGGATTCATAACTGAGAGCATAATTATATAAAAGTCATAAGTTTCTATTTTTCATTTTTTTTTTTCTTTTTAAAGCCTAAAGAAAAATAGTAACATCCAAAGCGTAGTCCGGATTGTTGGAATGAGCTCATAAATTCTGTAACTGTTTAGGAATTATAAATGACTATACGTAGAATTCCTTTATATGTATGTGTAATACCAAGTTGCTAACTTGTTATCTAAATGTAGCAAATAGGAAACATAAGTAAACATGATAAAATATATGAATATGAAGTGAAATCTATCAAGGAATATTACATAACACGAACGTCAGTGGCACCAACAAGAAGGAACTTAACCACGGCAGAAACTTATTTATCACCACTAGGGGTGGACAAAAAAATCGAACCGAACCGTCGAACCGTTGAATCGAACTGAATCGAACCGAATTTGCGGTTAATCGAGCAAATTCGGTTCAAATACAAATACTGCATATTTGATATTTGCTCAGTTCGGTTCGGTTTCAGTTTTTAATATTTTTTTCGGTTCGGTTAACCGAACCGAATATATTTATATATTCATGTTTTTATATTTTAAATTTTATATTAATAATTATATTCGATTCGGTTTCGGTTCGGTTTCGGTTTCGATTCGGATATTTGAAATATTTGCAAATATTTTGATTTAATTATTTTTTAATATATTATTTTTTTATTTCTGTTCAGTTCGAATTATTTGCAAATATTTTCGGTTAAAATACGGTTCACGGTTTCGGGTATTTGTTCGGTTCGGTTTGGATATCAAATACCTGCATATTTGCAAATATTCGAACCGTGCCTACCCCTAATCACCACTAATCATGATACTTTTTATCAATTGCAATACAATAGACAAAAGTAGCAAAATAACTTCATCATTTGATAAAAAAATTCGGTCATGAGAACTTGAAAACATTGTTGGGCAGTAAACGGAATTGAAAAAAGGATTCGTGTTTTGAAAATTGCCACAATTCCATTTTATGATGGTAAAATGTGGATTCTAAAGTTGAAAACAATTTTGGACAAAATACAAATTTGAAAAATACACATTTAAAGGTTTAGATTCTCTTTTGACTTAATAAATGGTTTGTAGAATCATCCATCACCATTCTCATCATCAATTCTTATAGAGAACAAAAAACCTCACATTTTCAACTATGGCATCACAAAAGTAACATGACGAGAAGACAAAATTTCCAAAAAAGATTCAAAAAGTACGTTTAAGGTTTAAAATCCCCTCAACTCTAAGAAATGGTTTATGAAATCACCCAATTAACTAAAGAAGAACACAAAAAACGTGCAAATAATAGGGTTAAAGTAAGAAATTGCCAATAAAAATTTAAAAATACACATTCAAGATTTAGATTTCCCTCAACTTCATAAATGATTAATGAAATCACCCAATTCAATATTCTCATCACTTTTAAGGAAGAATCCAAAATCTTAATCGTCCAACTATGAAAAGCAGGAGTAAGCAGAAATTGCAATGAAATGATACCTACTACTGTGAGTGAAAATGAGTGCAAAAGGAGGAAATTATATAAGTTAAAAGTTCATTTTATTAATATTTTCTAGATTTTAACTTACCATATATATATATATAACCACTTACCATATTATAATATTTTTAAATTTTATGTGTGTTTGTTTGGGAATTGGATTTTAAATATACTATTCATCTCATTTTTTTTCCCTCAAAAATATCAAATCAAACACTTATTTTTTATTTTTTATTAATATTTTATTTTTAATTTACCATGTATATAACTATTTACCATATTATAAATTTTTTGTAAAATTTTATCAATATTTATCCTATCAAAATAATGTAAACAAATCTTTGCTGCAAATTATGTTGATCACATTCAATCCCTATTTAATTGATTTTAGTCTTATATAAAAAATAAAAACAAAAAAAATCATTAAAATTCAGCTCAATCAAATACTTTTGTAGATTTTTATTTATTTATTTACTTAAATTATATTATATTTTAATAGTATATATATAAATATATCTTATACTCCATAAAAATTATGTTTTACAAAATAAAATATATTAATTATATTTTTATTAAAATTTAATTTTTGAGATATTAGTTTTTACATACTTAAAATTAAAAATATACTTATATTTGTATAATTTTTTTATACAAATGTCATTATCTTTGTACTGCAAGATACTATTTTTTTTTTCATAATTTTATAATTTTCATCAATCCTATTTAAAAATATTATTAGTCGGTTATATTTAAACTCATACTTTAACACAAAAATATCTCAACTATAAAAAATAATGTCCATTTTTGTTATACTTTCAAATGTAAACATGTTAAAAAGTATACAACACACTTACACTAATCAATTATATACTATTATTTAATCTACTTAAAAGAATAAAGGTATTAAATTGGGATGAAGAGAGCGTGTTTAACCATTAAACAAACACTCTTTTTTATACCTAAATTATTTAAAACTTTCAATGAATATAGATGGAAATAGGTTTAGATACAATAGTTTTTTATTCAAGCCGACTCATATAATTGAGATTGAGTTCAATTATTAAATTTGGAGCATGGTAGAATTTCATTTCGTACGAATTATTTAAGGTCGAGGTCGATCCGGTCTAAATCTTAAAATTGGATTGGATCAAAATCCATCACTATTCAAAATAACGCTATAAATATAATTAATACTTTCTCCGTCCCGACAAATTACACCACTTTTTTAGGCGCGGTTATTTAAATATATATATATATATATTTATGTATTAAATTATTTTGTGTTTAGTTGATATAATATTTATAATATACTATTGTATTTTTATCTTTTTAAATATTTTATGAATAAAATAGATATTAATCGATTTTGATACAAATAATTTTTGTATTTGGACAAATTATTAGTGTAATTATTTGTAACAACACTAAAATTTTAAAAATATAAATATAAATATAAGTTTAAAATTATTTATAACAAATTAATGGTGTAATTATTTAAGATTTAAATTAAAAAGTTTTGTGTTTGGTTAGATTTTTGTAGTTTTTCTTTTAATATTCATTAATTTTATACCTTAAAAATAACAAATCAAACTCTCATTGTTTATGTCTTTTATATTGAATTAAAGATTAATTTAAATTCAAAACATAAAATTTGTTCTTTTACAATTTCAAACCTAAATAAACAGTATTCAATTTATACGTTTTTAATAAAAATATATTATTTTTTATCATAAAATATCAAATCAAAATAAAATTTAAACAAAAACTTAAATCAACACACCATTTCAAATCAATTTCAAACTACAACCAAATCAATACCTATTTAAACCATTTGCATTAAATAAAAAAAATACTATTCAAAATTCAAACTCCCAACCAAACACACTAATATATAATTTAAATTATTAAATTACTTTTAGTATTAAAAAAATCAATTGACGAATTGGATTTTGAAATTACCCATTTTTGTCTATTCTAATTAAATATAATTAAAAATAAAGATGGTTCAATACGGTATACCAAAAATATCCAAGTATAGCATATATCATATCAAATGTCTAAGTAATTCCAAGTATATAATTTCAAATCAATTTCAAATTACAACTAAATCAACGCCTATTTGTATCAAATCAACTAAACATTCAAATTATATATATATATATGTTAGAAAAACAATACAAAACTATAATTAATAATTATAATTTGGTATAGCAAAGGCGTAAACCATTTCATACCAAAAGATTAAAATCATAAATAATAATTTGATATGAATATAGAGAATTTTTTATATTAACAAAAATATCAAACTAAATAATGATACCAAACTAAAAAGATCAAACTATACCAAAAATTTTGGTTTTTTTTTTTTTTTAATTTTTGATATGGTATTTGTAATATTTTATGAATGTGATATTTTCTCATCTTTAATTAAAATAAATTGTTGACTAATTAAGAAAAAAATTATTGTGTATTAACCCACAAAGAAATTCCAACACACATCACTATTAATATTATAAAAATACAATTTAATTCACAAATATATAATATTTATAAAAATCAAATAGTGAACAATGCATCAAAGCAATACAAACAACATTGTACAATAAAACACCAGACTATAATAATATACATAAACACAACACAACACAAAAGCATAAACCATACAAGCAACATAATACAGAAAGGCACCACAACCACACTATATCATACATAAATACAACACACAATCAACAACCACACTATATCATACATAAACACAACACACAATCAACAACCACACTATATCATACATAAACACAACACACAATCAAAGCACCATAACTTACAATACAAAAAGGCACCACAAGCGTTGCATGCCCAAATAACTATATGAATATGCATAACAAATATATTTATAGACTTACAAATAACTACTAAATCAGTAGCTCTAATAACTATATATTAATTACTACAAATAACTACTAAAATAACTATATATTAATACTAATAACTAGTAAGGACTAATATAATAAGTAATAGCCAGTAACTAATACTAATACTAATACCTAATAACCGGTACTAACCACTACTACATTCTAAATACTATTACTAATAGGAACTAATAACTAAATACTAATACTAATAATAGAAACTAATTACTGTACTAACAAATAGTAACTTGTAATACTAATGACTAGTAACCAACAGTTAGTTAGTAACTAATACCAATACCTAATAACTAGCACGAAATCATAAATAACTAGCAACTGAATATTAACAAATGTCCTATCACAAGAATAGTCATATCTGACAAAATTGGCTCTGTAATTCCTCAACATCTTTGTAAGCCAACCACCCTAAAGGATCCTAGTCAAAAATAAAGTAGATGAGAGCATTCCAAAAAAGAGGGTTTTCAAGAATTCAAAGAGTAATAAAGCATACACTTCAAACCAGTTCAATGTTGATCTATAAAAACAAAGGCAAGCTTCTGTTTCTATGTAACAAAGGCAAGCTTCTGTTAAAATAAACATCATAGCACAAATATCTTGAAGCAAATCCGGATCACCACAAACACAGAGAGACAGAACTACGAAAATCAGACAAACAAATATATTAAATCCTGCACTAAGCATAAAATCCTAATGAAGCTAAATTAAACTGTTTCAAGCTCAACGTATAGGTGGTTAAAGCTGTTGTGCCAATTTTAAAAGGAAGACAAACAACCCAAAGCAATTTGTATATAAAAAAGACTACATTCTTCATTCGAGATTATGACAAAATGCAAAAGGAAGTATGAATACTCTTACAGCAACATATTAACCAACTATGTAACAGCATAAAACAATATAGGAAAGGACAATGATTGTAAAGGGGGAAGGAAAGGACCAACTCAGAAGTTAAACCTTCAAATAAGTTACACTAAGTCTAAGAAGAAAAAAGATAATACCTCATCATCATCATACCTTTGCAGCTAGTAAAGAAAGCAGCAAGTACAGTGCCAAGGTGGAAATCAAGGCCAGGTCCTGCAAGCACCTCTGCCACAGCTCCCAATACATGGGGCATTGTAGAGAAATCATATGATAATATATTGATAGGAACACACATACAAGAATTTGGGACATAAGCTGATGTTTGTACTTACGACATTGGAGGATGAACAAGCTTAGGAAGAACATGGGGTAGCACTGCACAGCAGAGGTCCTAACATTGAAATAACCAAAGATAGTTTAGCCCCCATTTGAAGCACTATAGACACAGGAACCAACAACAGAATATTTACCTTGTAGAGGTAACTACATGAGAAGAAAAAAGGGATATTTACCTTCTGTTGTTCCATCAAAAAGTCATCCGAGCATTCGATAAGACACTCCACATTTCTCTCCAAAAATGGACTGGTTGACAAGTGCAGTCTTTCATGACCACACTACCATGCAATAACATTACGAAATTAAAACTTTCATATACATCAGTAGATTAAAAGGAGCACAGTATTCAATTATACCTGTGGCACAGGAGCATATCTGCCTCCAGCTCACTCATAAATAAAAGCACTGATAAGTGCAGAATTTGAAACCTTAATTTGTCAATGTATAAACAGGACAAGAAACCTAAGCAATAAAAGTGCAGGAACTTTTTCATTACTATGAATATTATTACAATAGAAAAAATACTAAATCCCGCAATTACATGAAAAACACCAGGAGCAGGCATGCTGAATCAATCTCCCATCAACTAGAAGTTCCAAAGTTCATTTTAAGATGATAATTTAATAATAATTATATTTAAAAAAAATGACAGATGAAGAGTTACTAGGATCTCTTCAAAGATATCCACCCATGGACGATTCTTTTCCCTTAACCTGAGCAACAAGCCATTGTTAGACAAGAAATTATATGAATTAATATTGTAAGACTACGTCAAAGACAATACAATCTCTAGTTTCCACATTGTGAAGAGAATGTGGACAGAAATGCATACATACTGCCTTAAAATTCCATAAATGAATCAGTGAGTTTCAATGCAATCAAAGCTAGAACACCTTGGCTGCATGTCTTATGTTTTCCTGCAACAAGGTAATATATGTCAGGTTCATAAAACAAACAATAATATTCAATCAATGCTGCACTAAGCATAACATCCTAACGAAACTCGCAGAATTTCTGCAAGAACATAACATGTAACAGAATAATAACAACCCATGCACATCCTAGAGCATTTTTGTATCTGCAACAGCTCCCCAAAAATGATTAGCAGTAAAAGTGTTGGAGATAACCTATCAGCAGGAGTGATCCCCAAAAATGTAGAAATTAAAATATATCCAATTAGATAAGCCATAACACGCCTCAATGTATGGACAAAAATCAAGACTATGCAGCATGCCCTTTAACTTTAAAGTATAGTGATTTCTAACAGCAGTATGAATTATGATTTCGTAAGTTAAATGATTTACATTCTAAAGATTAATTTATTCATACATCAAATATCTGACTAATTATATATATATGATATCACATATATATAAAATAATCAAATAAAACACAATCCATCAGATTACTTGCTAATATCATATACAAGTTCTCGTGCTTTTATGAAATTAAACAGAGGTAACCACTACAGAAAGGTTAAAACTTACCGAAAAGTGCCAGCATAGCAAAGCAGCGCCAAGAAGGGCGGGCCAGCCAGTGAAGGGTACCTCCTAACTCAAGGAAGGAAAAACACAATACCTCATCATCATCATGGCTTTGCAGCTACTAAAGCAGGAAGTACAGTGCCGAGGTGGAAATCAAGGCCGGGTGCTGCAATCTCTGCCATAGCTCCCAATAGATGGGCAATGAAGGGACTGTAGAGAAACTATATCATAATGTATTCATGGGAACACACATAGAAGAATTTAGGACATAAGCTGATGTATGTACTTACGACATTGGAGGATGAACAAGCTTTGGAAGAATATGGGGTAGCACAGCAGAGGTTAGGGCATTGAAATGACCAAAGATAGTTTAGCCCCCATTTAAAGCAAAATATAGACAAACACCAGCAACGGGATATTTAACTTGTAGGGGATAGGTACTAAATGGGGAGGGAAAAGGGATATTTACCTTCCGGTTGATACATCGACATGTCATCCATGCATTAGATAAGACACTCCACATTTCTCTCCAAAAATGGACTGGTTGACAAGTGCAGTCTTTCATGACCACACGATCATGCAATAACATTACGAAATTAAAACTTTCATATACATCAGTACATTAAAATGAGCACAGTATTGAATCATACCAAGAGCATCAGCCTCCACCTCACTCATAAATAACAGCACTGATAAGTGCAGAACTTGAAACCTTAATTTTTCAATGTAGAAACAGGACAAGAAACCTTAGCAATATAAATGCAGACACATTTTTTATTATTATGAATATTATTACGATCGAAAAACTACTAAATCCCGCAATCACATGAATAACACCAGGAGCAGGCATGCTGAATCACTCTTCCATCAACTAGAACTTCCAAAGTTCATTATGAGATGATAATTTAATAATATTATAATTTTTTTTTTCAAAAAAAAAAAAGATGAAGAGTTTACATGGGATTCTTCTCCCTCAACCTGAGCAACAAGCCATTATTAGACAAGAAATTACATGTATTAGTATTGTAAGACATCAAAGACAATAAATTTTATAGTTTCCGTCATTGTAAAGAGAATGTGCAAAGAAATGGATACATCTCTCCAGTAAAGTTGTTACTGGGGTAAAGTTTCATAAATGAATCAGAGAGTTTCAATGCACTCAAAGCTAGAACACCTTGGTTGGATCTTGATGGATCATAAAAGATGCAGACGCATCGTCTTATGTTTTCCTGCAACCAGGTAATAGATGTCCGGTTCATGAAAAAACAACTACATTCAATGCTGCACTAAGCATAACATCCAAATGAAGCTAAATTCATTTGTTTCAAGCTCAACGTATAGGTGGTTAAAGCTGATGTGCCAATTTTAAAAGGAAGACAAACAACCCAAACCAATGTCTATAAAAAAGACGACATTCTTCATTTGGATGATGACAAAATGCAAGAGGAAGTCCGTAAGCAACAGATGTGTGCATCAGTCAATTCACCGGACACGTTCATGGATACTCTTACAGCAACATAGAATATTACCAACTCTCTTAAATTCTGTAAGAACATAAAACAGTTGTGGAAATGACAACGATTGTAAAGGTAAAAGCACAGGACCAACTCAGAAGTTACACCTTCCAACAGGTCAAACTAATAATACAACTGAAAAGCGCAAAAATAAATCAGATATGTACCTGATAATTCATAAAAGACTCTACGAGTTCCACCGTTTGAAATGGCCCAAACAAAGTGGATTGATACCTGGGAGCGGAGCATAATTATATAAGAGTCTGTTATTGTTTTCTTTTGAACCCCAAAAAAGGAGAAACATCCATTAAACATTGCCGAAACAATCAAAAGGCATTAGGTTATATGGAAGTTGTCATGTTTTTATGAAATTAAACTGAGGTAACCACTCCAGAAACGTTAAAACTTACCGAAAAGTGCAAGCATAGCAAAGCAGCTCCAAGAAGCCGGGCCAGCCAGTGTAGGGTACCTCCTAAATCAAAGAAGAAAAAACGCAATACCTCATCATCATCATGTCTTCGCAGGTCGTAAAGCAGGAGGAAATCAAGGCCAGGTCCTGCAACCTCCGCCAGAACTCCCAATACATGGACATTGAAGACATTGTAGAGAAATCATATCATAATATATTGATAGAAACACACACGTAAGAATTTAAGGACATAAGCAAGCTGATGTATGTACTTACGACATTGGAGGATGAACAAGCTTGGGAAGAACATGGACAAAATGCTATAATAATATAATAAAGAGACACGTGGGGAAGACCCTCCCCAAAGCACCGGCGCATGTTGAAAAGTTCTGGGAGTTGAGAGCCAGATATGGTTTGGATCGTCGATGGTGTGTAGTAGGGCCTACAGTATCGGGTGGGGACGTCCCGGGATTTCTGTGTACTTTGACCGTACCCTCCTCGTCCCTCCCCTCTGTCTCCAGACAGTGCAGTGCCATAGCATAGGAGCTCCAAGAAGGGCGGGGCAGGCCTCCTAAATCAAAGAAAAAACAAACGCAAGTTTACTTACCATAAGAAAAAGAAAAGGATGACCACACAGAATCGAACAATATAATGACCAGAGTCTTATTCATTTGTTTCAAATAGAAGAGCAGCAGCAAACAAACCTAACTTATGAATCTCTGAGTTAAAATGGAACCACTTCCAGAAGACAATCCTTCCACGCGACACGACGGCCTTCCTTCCGGTCAGGGGACGAAACGGCGGCCATGGCTCCGATCTCTCTCTCTCTCTCTCTCTCTCTCTCTGCTCTCCCCCTCTCTCACTCTAATTTTTGGAAGAAATTATTTTTGAATGTGGTTCGAGTGACGGGCAAGATTAAATACAGAATAATACAGCATGGATAACGGTCAGATTAGCCAAAGTAATCGTTATTTTATTATTATTATTATTAAAAAAAAAATTAAACTAAGGCAAGTAATCGTTATTTTAAACTAAGGCAAGAATATTTTTCATTATCGACCGCTTACCATATATAATCTTCTTATAATTTTATTAATACTTTATAAACATTAACGGTTATTTTAAATTAGGTAAGTATATCTTCCATTAATCACTTATCATATATAATTTTCTATAATTTATTAATATTTTACAAATCAAAAAATAATTAATATTTAATTAATTTTTATCTAGAATTTGTTTATTTAGTCTTATAAAGTAGGGGTATATATTAAAATCATGTCTAAAAAATTTAATGAGCACACAAACTCTATAAAATTAAGCTCAATCAATATTTTATTTAATTATATACTTTTTTGTTTATTTAAATTATATTATATTAATAGCATATATTTTTTATATTATATAAAAAAAATACATTTTTACAAAATAATATATATTAATTTTATTTTTATTAAAATTTAACTTTTTAAAATACTTTTTATTTTTTTAATATTTGAAAATTTTCAATAATTTCTGTCGCTAGTTACTATTATAAATTAATATTATTATAATAATCTTTTAAATATTTTATGTTGAAATTTATATATTTTTATTGACAAATATATTTTATTAAGAATGATGTTAATATAATATTAATTAAAATTTATATATTTAAAATGGATGTGTTTGATTTATAAATTACATTTACTTACAGAGTTCTAATAAATTTTATTTTTTTTGTTTCATTTTGTTTGTCCGTTTTATTGTATATATAAAAAATTAAGTATGATATGATTATGAAAATTTTTGAAATATATTAGTAAAAATAATTATAAATTAATTTTAATATAAATAATTAATTTAATTGAGATTTAATAAAATAATTGACTATGAAATTTAAATATAAGTAAAATTAAAATCATTCTTTTTTTAAAAAAAAAATACAAGTAAAGTGTCAAAGACAAAAATAAAATTAGTGAGCAAATAAAGTGAGACAAAATGAATAATGAAAATAAAATATTTCTAATTTAATGTGCTCATTTTATTTTTAATTTTTTTTAAAATAAAAATATCAATATTATCTTATATATTTTTAATAATTAATGTTATTATTTTTAAATTTACTATAAAAAACAAATATACCTCTTTGTTAAAAGTTTATATTTATTTTATGCGTTAGATATTTAAATATTAATTATTATATTTAGTATAAATCAAGTAAAAATAACAAAAATATTTATATTAATGTATTATAATACAAATATAATAATATTTATATAAAATTTATACAAATAGTATAATGATATTTTTAATATCAAGTAAGGTAAATATAAATTTTTAAAATGGACAATATATTTTTGAATCGAAATGAATGGAATTAATGTGTAAAAAATAATGTTTCTAAAATATTAAATAAAAAATATTTATACTATTAATATAATATAATTTAAAATATATAATGGAGTATATTATAATTGGGTCTACTCATTGAGTGGGGCCTCCACTATTATTGTGTAGCATCCATGCCATGGCAGCCGGATTAATTTTGCCGATATAATATGATTTCAAATACGGTAGTATTTATATGCAGGCAATAATATTGTATTTTAAATTATTATATCTACAATTATGATATTATCACTTTGAGAAAAAAAAAAAAAGTACTCTCTACTTCGGATACGATGTTTCTTTTGCCGTAAGTACGAGTATTTATAAAAAAATATAATTAGTAAATAATTAATAATATATTAGTAAAAATAATTTTAAATTAAAATTAAGATAATTTATTAATATAATTAAAATTAAAAAATTAAAAATTTTAAAACACCAAAATACAAATATAAATACAGTAAATACTGGACGAAAGGGAGTAATATTCAAGCAACATAAATTCTTTTTTTCATTCAAAAATAAATAAATAAAAACAATCAAGTTGGAAAGTAAAGTTCAAATTCAAATTATCAAATAATTCAAAAATAGATATATAAATGCTGAAGTTCAGTTTTGTCCTCTCCTTGTCCGAAAGTGAAGTGAATTTAAATTGAAACAGATATTTATTATTATTATTATTAATATTATTATTAGTATGCTTTTTAATGTGTCATGTTAATCTGACCCCTCACCACTCACTGTTCTTTCTCTCTCTTCCAAAGCTCCTCTTTTCCCTTTCTGCTCTCTCTCGCTCTAACCTCCCACAGCTCGACCACTGCCAGTTTCCATGGCGACCGAAGAACTCAACAAGCCTCCTTCTCTTCCTCCTTACCCACAGGTCTGATTGCCAAGCTCTCTTGATTTCTTCTCCTCCCTTTTTTTTGTGTTTTTTTTAAAAACATTATTTCAAAATTTTCAATATCTGGTGCAAGCTGAACCCTCATTTCCGTACTGTAAGTTCTTTGCTTCAACCGAACCTTTTTTTTTTTTTTTTAGTTTTAAAAAAATTCATGAATTTCTTGAAACGAATTTGTAAGCACGCGATTTGTGTATGAAATTTTAGATTTTGAGTGGTTGCTGAAACGAAACCCTATTATTTTTATTTTTCAATATTTTATAGCCATCTGGTTCTTTGTTAACTAATTCCACTCTAAATTACCTCTGCATCAAACCGAACCCTATCTGAAGCACAAAAATCTTTTCAAAAAAAAATTGGATCTTTACCCCAACTCGCTACTCAAAACCACCTGCAAGTTTATATATCCCTAACTAACTAACTCATCGAAACGACGCCGTTTTGCAGATGATAATGGAAGCTCTGGATGCACTGAAGCAAGCCGAGGGTGCCAACAAGTCCTCCATCTCCAAATTCATGGAGTCCAAATACGGCGAAATGCCCGCCGGCCACGCCGATCTGCTGTCGCACCACCTCGTCCGAATGAAGGACTCCGGCGACCTTCTCTTCATCAAGAACAACTACCTCAAGCCCGGCCCGGAGGCCCCCCTCAAGCGCGGCCGCGGCCGACCCCCCAAGCCCAAGGACCCCCTCCCCCCGGGGGCCATCCCACCCGCTCCCCGTCCCCGTGGGAGGCCGAGGAAGGACCCCAATTCGGAGCCCGCCCCCAAGAAGGTTAAGCCGGCGCCGAGCTTGTCCAAGAGCGGGCGGCCGAGGGGGCGGCCGAGGAAGGTGAGCGTGCAGCCGCTGCAGAACGGAGTCGAGGCGTGATAGAGGGAGGGGTATGTGTGTGTGTGTGCGCTTATATACTTACATACATACATATATATGTGTGTGTGTATTGATGCTCTCTTTCATTCAACTCTTTAGAGATGATTCTGATTGTGATGATGTCATGTTTGTGTGTTTTAATTTTCTTTAGGTGGTTTCAAATTTGGATTCTTAGATCTTTAGTGTGTTTGTTTGTTTGTCTGATGTAATTAAATTTGGGAAGTACACATTGTTGTTTAGTGAGCTCTTAAGTTGTGGGTTTTGCTCTCAAGGCTCTTTCCTGAGGTGTAGTATTTTATTTTTCTTTTTTAGGTTAAATGAGGTTTGATATGGTGTTTTCTTGCATGCATTTATTTGTATGGCAACTATTGCTTTGTGGGATCAAATTCAAACGTGTTGGCCATTAAGTGGTCCATTCTACATGGTCCAGTTAGCGCAAGGAATTATTACCGGTTTGGAGAATTGGTTTTAATGTCCTAGCTTGGCTAGATGGATAGATAGATAGATAGATAGATACTGGTTGTCACTAAATTAAGGATATGTGATGTGATGAGATGAGATGAGATTGTGCACGTGCGAGAGAGATGTTAAACATGATTGCAGCTAGCAATAGCAATAGCAATAGCATTGTGTTTGTGTGGTGGTTGTTTCCTTGGTCTCGACGACTGTGTGTTGGGACCGACTTCGAGTAGAGTCACCTTCGTTGCATCATCAACAATAATGAATGATGTTCTTGATATGTACTTATATTTTAGGCCCACAATGGAATGGAATCGAATCGAATCTTGAGGAAGTACTACGATGGATAGATATTCGATTGCGATTAGGATTAGGATTAGGATGGTTGGTTACAAGTGAGATAGTATGTATGTATGTATTGTATTGTGTATTGTATTTTGTATTTTGTTGATACATGCATGAAATGAGATGAGAGTGAGAGTGAGAGCTTTTCCATTGTTGTTGGTTAGGTTCAACACACCAATTGTGTTTTCTTCTTTCTTTTACCAAATTCTATTCACCATCCATTACATTATTGGGTTTTTTTTTTCATTTTAAATATAAATTAATACTATTCAATCATAATATTTTTCAATAAAAAAATATATATTTTTATAAAATTTCACATCAAAATACTATTAAAAAAAATAATAAATCAACAGATCATTCATAAAGTACAACCAAATATATTTTGTCATGCATATAACAATGGTGTAATATTGGTAGAAGAAATATGTATGCTCTTACAATGGATTACCTCCCACTGTAAAATTAAATTATGCTTATACGGTGGGCATTGTAGTTAATTATTTTGATGTAAAGTAAAATCTACAAGGATATACTCACTTAGTCTCGTCAGGGATTGAATCCTTTTATTAGGGATACGGTTTTTTTTTAAGATAGTGCAAATTAGTAAGTTATTAATAATAAATTATGATATTTGTTTATTAATATTATTGGTATTTTTAAAAAAATTTAAGATTATATTAAAAAATATATATATATGCAAGATATCATTTTGTAGATAATAAAATTTTATATAATACAAATAAATAAAAAATATTTTTATTTATTTATTATTACCATAAATTAGTTCTATAAAAAAATGAAAAGTTTTAAATATAGATAAAAAAAAAAATATGTTAATTGAGGAGAGAGATAGAAATAAAAGAGTTTTGAGTGGAAAAATTGAATTGAGAGATGTTAAAAGTTTAATTAAATTGATTTGTATTTGTCAAATATATTTAAAATTGATAAAGTTATCAAAAATGGAAAAATGTCATCTTTTCTGGGAGCGTACAAAAAACAAAAATGGATCATCTGTGGCGGAACGGGGGAGTATTTTGGAAAATTTATTAGAAAATACGGTTTTTTTTTTATTTTTTTATTTTTGATGACATGAGAATTCGCAGTTGCAACCCGAAAGTGCGCACCAGGGTAAACCTTATGTCAAAATTTAATATTATGCAAACTATGTACGACAAAAAAAAAACCACACTAGAAAATGCGGTTAATTGATAGTACGGAGAATAGGAGTGGGCAAAAATATCTAAAATATGTACATACCATTATATTAGATTGAAAAGATATGGAAAAAATCATATTTTCAATATACAGTTTACTATACCAAAATTCATTATATATCAGGATATCAATATATATCAATGTTTAGTATATATAAGTGTTCAATAGAGTATGTTAAAGAATAAATATGATATCGGTACAAAAGAATTTGTACTATAAATTTTTTGATATACAAAATTTTAATTAATAATTATTTTTTCTAATACTCATTTTAATCACTTACTTACTGATTATATTTTACCTATTTATAATAACACAGATATATTATCAGGAATCCGAGAGAGTAACAAAATATTTAAAGGCAAATGTAGGATTGTATTTAGATACAGAATGTTGCCAAAAATGATATGAATGGTGCTAAAAATCATAAACTTGTAATTGAAACCAACTGCCAAAAACTGAGTAAAATCATCTCTACAGTCATTCTGACATTGTGCTAAAACAAACTAGGATTACAACTTCACACATACATGCATATGTTACATATATATACACCCCGTTTGAATTTCCACAAAATACTTGAAATTCTCAAGTAGAGTCGGAGTTGGAGTCGAGGGCGGCGCCAATAGCCAACACGACCGTGGCAAAAATACAGCTGAGGTGATGGAATCTTAACACCGGTGGGCTCATAGACTGCTGAGTGATTTGTAATGCCCGGCTCTACAATTCCTCAAACTGTATCGAAAACCCACAATGGCATCGCTTTATTAGAGTCCGACCTTCTTCTTCTTCTACTTCTTCAGAGACCATTTCTTCCAAAATGAACTCATGTTGGTGGTCTTCTGCCGGGATTGGCGGAGGGGCACTGTGCTTGTCTGGAGTTTTCGTCTTTTGAGATCCTGCAGATGCCTTTCTACTCGGGGGAGGCATGGCTACTGACATGGAGCTATTTTTATCGGTTTTGGGGGCTTCCATGGAGGATTCTGACAACGCCCCATCTCCGTATGAATGGTTTAATCTTTGGCGAGTGATGATGGAAGAGAGAAGTTGATACCACCGTGACAGTGCTTGCACTTCGTTTCTCCTTTTGTCTTCAGCTGCTCGTTTTTCCTCTTCTTCTAAATACGCCTGACAGATCGATCATTCCATCAAAATCAATAGATAAACACTGAAAGCAACATCATTTAGTCATCTAGAATTTTCAAACAAAGACACCAGACTAATCTAGCTGAGTCGAGCAGTGTGGATTGAAGGCATATATTTGCATCGATTTCTTTAGGACATACACAAAGACATCTTTCTACTTCAATAATAGCAATAGCCATGAAGATGAATTTAAATGAGGCGAGGGTTCAAGCAACTTACCTCTAGGATAGCATCCTTAAACTCGGTACACACCACTATACCATTATATATAGGGACAGACCGGTCATTTCTGGACTCAAACCCAACCATAGCAGGGGCGTAATCAACCTCCAGCCTTTTCGCAACTAGTGCGATCCTTGGGAATGGCAAATGAGCAGTGCCTGGTGGGAGGCACTTCTCGGACCACACATCCACTTGACCACGTTCATTCTCGAAATTTAAACCCAGCAATTATCAATAGCCAAATACAGATGCAAGAGATAAAAACTGACAGACAATTAAATATATAAATAGATGTAACAGCAGGAAGCATCCTCAATACGACGAGCTTAGGATTCGATGAAGATTAATGGGTTAAATATATCTTGGAAGAAACAGATGGGCAAGGTTAAAGATGTTTCAGCACAATATATCCATTTGAAATAAAGCACGTCAACTCGATTTCCATTGAAACATATATGTGTATGCTATATAACTATCCGCATTATGCGTAACTGCAGAACACAAAACAAGACTACCTTAGGCACAATCCCATTAACAGCTTGAGGAAGGCACAGTGGTTCTGTTTGCCATTTTCCATATAGAACTGTAGTGCCCTGTTCATCAACATGCTCACTATCATCCTCAGCATCTTCTTTCCTCCTCTTAAGGGACCGCTTCAAAATCTTAATGAAACAGAATATGCAGCCATATACATTATTTAGAGTGCAAATTAAAGTGACAATATACAATCTGAGATTCTAACAAGAAACAGACCTTCACAGGAACTTCACCGGCTTTCACTTGCTTCCCCTCACGCAACCACCTTTCCTTCGTATGAAGTAGTTGGACACAAGTACGAGGATAGACAGGGTGGCCAGAACAAAAGCCTAAGACTGGTCCCTTGGGGTACAGAACTTCATACTTCTTGAGCCATCTTTCAATAACGTACAAGTGATGATTTCGATAGGCCTGACAATTTTAGAAAATTATGTCAGTTCTAATCACTGCAGATGAAACAGTAACCAATTACATGAAACAAGATCAAATTTGAATGCGAACAGCTCAAATTTATACTTGTTGATTGGTTGGAAGGGGCTCTGTCAGTGCTCTAGTTTCTAATTCCACATCCTCGAGGACGCTCCTGGTAGAAGCAACAGAGTTCCTCAAAGAAGGCACTGCTGCTTTTTCGTCAGGACACTCTTCAGATATTCTATTTGAGTTCTTATCAAGGGATACTTCATGATTCTCTTGGCCTAAAGGCTTGCATTCCGAATCAACATAACCACTGGTTGCTGCTAACTCTAACTCCCTTAATGGTGCCAAAACTGCATCCCACCAGGTTGAATTGACTCGTTGTGCTGCTACCTTGTGCCATTTCGTACAATACCTAAAATCAAGTTTCTACTTAAGTAAAATTATTGCAGCAGTACACACTCCAATTACTTTCAGTATGTCCCAGATCCATATTTGAACACAAATCAGATGAGGGATCTGGTATAGCAGCAGCTACTAAAACAATTACTTTAATTTATTATTTTTTTGACATGGGAATAAAATTTGGCATTGGCAAGCTCATAAAATGTTCAGCAAAGATAATGCTAGTAAACTTCGATGGCTACTCTAAGTCATCCAAATGCTATCAATTTTTTTGTCCTCCTTCATCGTAGTTTACAGTATCTTTCCACATGAGAGTATGCTTGCATCAGATGGACCACCCAACATGTGCACATTTTCAGAAGATAAAGAAAATTACACATATAAATGGAACAGTTATTAAGGAAAATAAGTCTGCAGAATAACTGGGCAATGACATTTTGGCCTGACTAGTAGATGAGAGATAAATTGGTTTCTCTTGTTGGGATGCTATGCTGATTCGCTTGAATTTTAGAGAGGTGCTATAATTATAATTTCATATGCATATTAAGTCTCAATTATCTCAATAACATATCCAACTAAAAAGCATGAAACAAACCTGCGTGTCACATCTTTAGCTCCTTGTCCGGCAAAAGCAACCACATATCTCAAAGATTTTCTGCATGCAGCTGCAGCAGCTTCTAATTTATGCTCTCCATCTATTATTGCATTGACAGAATCAACATGCACCCACCTACCAGTCAAATTTTCTCCATTGCAAAAGACCTCTGCCCAATATAATGGGGCTCCCACCTTTTTTGATCCAATGGCTGTCGATATTCCATTCAAGTTCTGAGATTCTTCTTTTTTAATGATCTTCATCTTTTTAGAAGGTGGAAAGAGAACTGAAGAAGTGCTGGGAGATTCTGAAACATTTGATGCCATGGTAGTTTTGGAACTCTCAATTGCTGTAGCAGCAAGGGCCATTTCCATCTGCATCTCAAATTCAAGATCTCCTTTCCTCTTCAATCCCTCTGATTTTACAGGGCCCGATTCAGAATTATCAATGGGGGTCTCAGAAACCAAAACATCTGATGTTACATCTTTCATTTTCTCAGCAGCAAGAGCATCTTGGGATTGGAAACTAAGCTTGTTTAGTTTCTCAGCCTTGCTATGGCTAGCACCTCCTTCAGTAGTCTGACTGCTCTCATTCTCAACATTTGGTAATGAGTTCGCCAAGTTCGCAGAAGAACAGCTTGCTTCAGAAACCATCAACGTTGACGAGCTAAATATTCCCTTCCCCTTCTTGCTTACAACTTCCATTAAGTATTCAGATTTGTCACCACCAGGCTTCAAGGAGACCACATCCAGAATGGAAACAAATCTGAAACCAAAAGATTTATTTAGGTTGTATAGCAGGGCTCCATTTCATCTAGGAATATGTCTTATCTCTTAAAAGTATTTATAACAAAAGCTCAAACAACAACTCAAAGTACTGAAGTTCACCAAAATCTAGTGTCATAGGTCAAACAATCAAACAAGTCAGTAAATTAGGCAAGTAATCCTTCAGGAAGTATCAATAATAAATTCAAATAAATAATTGAGAAGGAAAGATCACAAGCAAGAATCATATATTATCATAATACTAATATCACAAGGGGAAATAATAGGAAATGGCATAAGACCTTCCTGTTTGATTAAAGGTGTCAAAAGAATATTAGGGAGAAGCTGTTCCCACATCAACTACTTATGATATAAACAGAATTCCTTCCTGGCTATTGAGGATTCAAAGTCCCCTAGAGACCCTATCCACATTCCATCCCAATATTTGGTCTTCCTTTAATCTCTTTCCTTGGGTTTTCAGATGTATATTGTTCATATTCATAATTAATTAGTTATAACTGTGAGAAGTTGCATTCTTGTGCTCCTAAATGTATTCGTGGGTACTCATTTACTCGAAAGAATTACAAATGTTATCACTCACAAGAAAATTTTCTCTGCCAATGTAGCATTAGTTGAAAATAAGTCCAATTTCACCACCCCTTGTCTTTAGGGGGATTAGACACACTTGAAGATAACACTTACAGTCCTATTTTTCTGTTTTTCAAGCCTATTATGCCCTAGATCTAGTCCTATATGGTTTTCTCTATGTTAAGCTATCCTACGTTCCTTCGGTTGTAATTCGCTGAAGTTTTATATAATTCCTCCAGCCAACCCATACACGCTACACACACAAAAAAGAGAGAGAGAGAATAAATAAAATAAACAAAATACAGCACAAGTCATTCTAATCTACAAATTTGTAGTTGAAATATATCACCCTTGAGCCTCTCCAAATATGAAAGCTTATCTTCCCCAGCTAAAACTAGGTAAACAGATTTCTAGAGTATACATCAATATATGAGAACAATCCTCCTCTGAAGACGTAAACAATGTTGATCAAAAGGTTTAATATAGTTTAACTCCAATTAATAATTTTCTAGCTGAAATATCTACATTCATATATATATATATATCATGTTCTGTATATGTAAAAATATTTAAAAAATCCATAAGGCTGATATCAGATAGGAAAAGCAACCCTCTTCCACTCAAGAAGATAATTTAGTAATGCAATCATGAATCTCTTGTGCGCTAGAAAAACACAGATCAAATTACATTAACAGGTAGGGGCCCACAGATATCAACCACATTAATTTGTGTATTACCGAACAGTTAGATTCAGAGCCCGGAACAGTGCAACCGATAGTGCTGTAATCTGCAAGAAAAGTAATCACAAGTCCTCAGAAGCGTACATATCATATTTTGTATGACATTATTGCTTTATACGCTGAAAACGTAATTATTTCCATATTAGGTTCATATAAACTGATATAGAGCAACTTAAATGCCGCAAAAGCAAAACAACATGATAACAACTTGCTAAACAGTTCATAATAATCAAAGTAAAGTATACTGACCTCATCTTCACAATCAATTTTTGAGTTGGGATTTGAATAGTAAAATTTTTGAATTTGAATAGTTGTATGATGTGATATAAATAGGTGTTGATATGATGTTTTGAATGTAAAATTGATTTTTAGTATAATATAAAAAATGAAAAATAGATGTTTGATTTGATGTTTTTTGGGGAAAAAAAATGGGATGAATAGTGTATTTGGGGGAGAATCCCCCAAACAAACACACCCTAAGTAAAAAATGGAAGAAGACAATTAATAAGAAATATCCACATTCAGACTTGATGTAATCGGGAACCCCACATAACTTTTATTTTATACCTATTTAGTACCTCATGAGCCCCTTTCATTCACCGTAAAATTGGTATTTGTTCCATTCTAAAACACAATCACTACTGACATATTATTAATATAAAAGCCATGAATTTCTTGTAAGAAGGATCGACATTTATTCATTTTTTAAATTATAACTTATTAAAGAAAAATTGTACCTCTTCTGGTGTCCCCTGTTGTGTTTCCAAAGCAGAAGCCAAAGCTAGATGACAAGGTTTCTCCTCTATGGATGGACTTCCAACATGAAAATTTTGGTGAAACTGATGACAAGAAGAAAATGACCAGAAAATTCAAAATAAAAACTACATCATCCCAAATATTGATAATAAAAACAAAAGCCTAGTAAAATACGCCATACCCAACTGACGAGGGGGAACAGATCACTAGCAGTAAGTTTTGAGGTTTCTGTTATCTTCAGCAAGTGCGATGGAACAAGAGAAACTAGAGAAGCCTACCATGATTAAGGTAACACTGTTAAGAAGAACTTTACGATGCTTCTATCCAACACAAGTGTAAGAAACAAAGCAATAAACAAGGAAACCATGCAAGGGAATAACCCCAGGGGTTTGGTACCGAACTGTATCAAATCCCACATAGGAGAACATTTCATGATCCTCCTAAAGCAACATATGTTAGAAAATAGTTATAAAATACCAAAATTACATTATTTTCACCCTGAAAGAGGGCGAAAAAAAATGACTAGAAGTTACAACATTCAGACTGTTTCTATAACAATGGAACTAACATAAACAAACCTACTCAAAAACTCAATCATTGGTTTAAGTTTTTTAGTTTGACTGATCATCTTATATTTTCTTGGAGATCAACCAAACAAAAACATCATATCAGTAAGAAAATGAACAAACTAATGAATATACTTCCACCTTGTAAATGTTTGCCCACTATAAACAGTATGGATAATAAAAATTACGTTAACGCTAACTAATGAATAATTGAATCTAATTTGTAAGCAAAGATTGACATGAAATGAAAGATAAATTCATGATCAAAAAGATTCCAACAATGAGCAGCGGTGGAAAAAGAAATAAGCAGAGACAATAAGAAACTCTCAAATGGAGAAAGTAGAACCCGAATTGCAGTTTACAGGAATTTTTCTTTGACCCTCCCATCTTCACATTCCCAAGCTAATCATACTTACAAGTTATAGTTAACACCAAATCCTCTAACTCTCTTATTCTTCATCTGGTTGCAGTGTCAAAAAGTTGCATAGACAAAGTGAAGCATCTACCTGAATGAGAGGATCATTACAAGCCCCATCGATCAACCGTCCCCTCCCTAGTAAGCAAAGCAAATGAGCCTTGTGCAAAAGTTCAGCAACTTCCTGGCACAAAACAATTTATTGGATTGCAAGATGAACACAATCCAAATCAGAAAGACAATCTTAAAACTACTCGATCCATCTTCCAATTTTACCTTCTCTTCAGCAGTAGCTCTCCGAGACTGCTTCTTCTTAGCCGATCCATGCGAAATATCAAACTCAACAGAAACCCCATTTATAAAATCTTTTGTGGAAGACAATGTAGGAATGAATCCAACTTCCCATTCAGAATCATCAAACTCGTAGTCATTGTCATCGCGACTCGTTGCTTCTGCATCAGAAGCGTTGTTAGGAGGCGATGAATCATTTTCTCTAGATGTATCCACAAAATATTTTTTATTGACGACTTTTGATCCTCTCTCCATCGAAAATTGTCAGCAGAATTCTCTGAAACACGCAACAAAATAAAGTTAAAAGAGGGCCAATCTTCTCCTGTATCCCATTTCGCCCAAGACAAGAAAAGACGAACGAAACAGTGCCGACTCATTCGGCATCAGCATGTAATCAAGAAAAGAACCCTAATTAACTGAAAGAAGAGTTTTTCCTTTTTCTTTTAGAAAAAAAAAAAGGTTTTAGGCCCTTGACAAGCATTCTTAATACTTTATTATAGATTAAATTTAAATCATAACTAAATAAACTTCTTATTTAATTTTATTCTTGTCTCTCGTATATATCATATTCACATTTAATATTTAAATTATTTTTTTATTTTTTATTATAGTTTCATTCCCTTACAATTTTATAACATTTATATAATATAATTATTATTTTTATACTTATATTATTATTGTTTAATAATTATAATTTAGAGAAAATTTAAAAAATTAAAACTAAAATAAACAAGCTTAGCACCATTTAAACAGGAGCCGAAGATATCGGCCCATTCCTCTGGTGAAATTGGGCTTAAATTTGTATCTCCTCAAAATATTGGGTCTGATGTAAAAGTGGCGGCCCAAACCCATAAAGGAAGGACAATGATAACCGCCTCCAAAAAGCCAATATAAATAGAGAGAGAGGGGTTGCATACTTGCATCCATACCCCTTTTCAACGCTCCTATCTTTGGCCCTCTCCCTGAAACCCTAGCTCCGTTTCCCATCTGTCCCCCACAAATCCTTTCACGAATCATCGCCCTTTTCGTTCTCCCTCCCTCAAATCTACGCTATCTCCTCCGATCTGGATTCTCTTTTCTGCGTCTAATTTTTTTTTGCAAGTTTAGTGGTGGAACTCGAAGATTCTGTCTGTTGTTTGATCTGTTTCAGGTTATTTTTTCCCTTCTTTTTGTTGTTTTCGTTTTCTCTTCGTATGGTGGTGATTATATATCTGCTGTGACGCCGTTAGTGTGTTAGATCTGATTTTTCGTTCTTCGAGGAAAGAATTTTGACCTTGTTTTTATCATTGTTTCATAGTCCTTTTTTTTTTTTTTTTTTAAATACGGAATGTGATTTGTGTTTGTCTTTAGATCTAGCTTTCTTGTACCGATTTTGACTACAAGTCGATGGTTATTTATGGATTTTTTTAACATGCTTCCTGTGTTCCCCGAAGTACGGTTGTAATTTAAAGGTTTGCAATAATTTTTGGAGCCCCCTCGGGTTGGATTTCTGATAACCGTATCTATTTTGGTGGACGCTAATGGGTTAATCAAATTGGTTCTGACTGTTTTTTTTCCCAAGTTGGCAATAGCTTTATGCGTTGATATTATGTGTTTTTAAACTTATTCATAAATGGTTTGTTTTCAATATATCTGAAATTGGAGCTGATTATATGGTTTATGAGTGGGCTTCTTAATTCTTTGCTCTTGATCATTGCTGAATATTTGGTGTTTCCTGCTTGCAGATATACGTTCTATTGTTGGTGTCTATCAGTTTTGTCTATGGCTTCCTTGGACATGTCCTTGGATGATATGATAAAGAACAGAAGAAGTACTGGTAGAGGCGACCGAGGACGAGGACAGCCTCGTAGGGGAAGAGGGAGAGCAGGATTATCCCGAGGTGGGAGACTATTTGGCGCCCCTCATAGAAATACACTGGGAGTTAATCCTCGGCCTTCGCCGTACACTATTGCCAAGGCAAGCCCCAAACTATGGATGTCTTACAATTCATAGACAAATCTGCTATACGATGTTGTGCTCCAATGAAGGTGTTCTAGTTTTGCATTAAATTTGAATTTGAGAGATTTGCGGCAGTATTTCATCCTGGGAGATGCACAAAACACCTCAGCCGGAAACATGGCTGTGTTTTTTCTAGCAATTCCTCTGTGTTTGGGTGGATGGGTTTTTATCAGGAACTTTTACAATGGATGTTGTCAAAAGTTCGAAGATTGGTGGACACAGCTTACATCATCTTACGTTAAGGAGCTTCTTGCCTGAAAATTTAGACGCCTCCATATTTTGGCATCAGTAACAATGATTCTTGAAACTATTGCACATAACAATATTTACTTAGTAGAGTTATCTCTAGATTGCTGTTTGCCATTTCTGGTAGTAAGAGGGGGAGTGTATAGTTGATCCTTGTTATTTGTGGGGAATTATTATTTGATGGATACCTTTGCTAGAGTATGGAGTTACTTTTGGAGCGAGATTTCCATTGTACCTCGGTTCAAGGCATCTTGCAGAGGTGACTTCCTTTGCTGAAATTCAGAACTGGAGCTCTCACCTTCTGCATGGCACCACCTGCTATGGTTCAAATCTCAATTCCCATATAGAATAATCTGCATACCCCAATTATTCAATGGAATAAGACAATCTTGTGTGAGCTTTTCCATGTGACCTCATGGAACTTTGTTGATGTCTCTGCTTTATCTTGAAGAGCGGTAAAATATTATTATGTGGTGATGCTATGTATTCACTTTTCCCCTTCCAATATATCTTTGGTTGCATGCTCCAGTCCATTCGCAGAACCAAGAGTTTACCATGGCATAATGGTCTGTTTGAAGAAAGTCTTAAAGCAGCTGGATTGTCAGGAGTGTTGGAAACTGGTACAAAGTTGTATATCTCCAACTTGGATGTTGGGGTGTCCAATGAAGATATAAGGGTATTAATTTCGAGACGTACATTTCATTCATCTTTCCAGTTGGAATTCCTTTTTTCTGAATTAAGAATTGCGAAACAGGAGCTCTTTTCTGAGATTGGTGAGTTGATTCGGTTTGCAATCCACTATGACAAGCATGGGCGGCCCAGTGTAAGTTCTTGTTGCTATGAAATTACTACCCTGTAGTTATCTTATGTGTATTTCATACAGTAGTTTGCGTTTGAGCCTGTGCTGACTTTTGAGGGTTCTCATCATCTCTGTGTTACAACTCACTCAATGTAAAATGAAACTTGTGCTTGTATGTTTGGTTTTCCTTAGAACCGGTGGATCTGGCCTACGTGATAGCTGTGCTCATACACTTTATTTGTCATTGTTTCCTATGTTCTGCATTGTTTTTACTATTTAATTATATGGTATTAAATAAACTCCCTTTTCTTGAGTAGTGTATCAGCCTTGATTGCAGCCATATATAAGATAACTAAGTTCTGTGGCTTGAACACGCAATGTTTTTATTTCAACCAGAGTAGTGCATCTCTTCTCCTTTATTGATGATGTTGATATTTGCTCGTGAACTTGTGGATATGATTATATAGTTCTTCTGCTGATCCATTGATATGCTGAGGAGTAATTGTATTGTCTTGACATTTTTGGACATGATATTTTTCCCCTTTTATATTCAAGTTGCCGTTTAAATTAGGTCTAGTAAGTTGTTTTATTAGCAGTTATCAAAATTGATTGCATTTCTTTTGCTATAAACTTATTGTGCAATTGTGTACTATTTGGTTTCTAAAATAGATGAGTTGTGTATGTGTTTCTTTCTACTACTGGCAAGGTTTAATTAGGCCTGATCTTGTAATAGGGTTCAGCAGAAGTGATATTTGCAAGGAGAAGTGATGCATTCCAGGCATTCAAACGATATAACAATGTTCAATTGGATGGAAGACCTATGAAAATCGAGGTAATTGGGGCAAATCCAGAGGTCCCTGTCACGGCTCGTGTTAATGTGGTTGGAGGAACAAATGGGAGAAAGAGAACAGTTGTCATGGGGTTTGTATCTTTCACTCTCCTACTATTTTTGATGTTTTTGTTTTTCATAAGTTTATGTAGCTGCCTACTGTAATACAGTTTTGCTTTAGCTGTATGTTGATATTCTTCTGTTCACGTGCTGATTAGCTATTTTTTGTGCAGGTCTGGACCTGTCCGTACCAGAGGTGGCTTCACATCAGCTAATCGCGGCATGGGGTAAGTTACTCTTGCCTTTATAATATGCATCTCTGAGCTTTTCTCTATGTGATGTATTTTATTTGAGCAGTTGTCTTTTCTCTATGTGATGTATTTTATATCTCTGTGGTAGATGGAGGATCAGATAATATAGAGCTGAGCATGAAACCATAAATGCTGACACTGTTAAATCGTCTAATTAACTTGCGTGTGTATCATTGTTGTTGTATTATGAATGTAAACACTCTGTGGCTATATGTATACATTAGGGCAAGGGGTCGTGGCATGGTGCGAGGGCGAGGTGGCCGGGGTGGAGGCCGAGGCAACTTTGGTGGGCGTGGGGGAGGACGAGGTGGAGGAGCAGGTGGTGGTGTTTGGAAGAAGAAAAGTGAAAAATCAGCTGCAGAACTGGACAAGGAGCTGGAGAGCTATCACGCCGACGCCATGCAGACATGAATATCAATCAATCAATCATAGGTGTGAGGGGGGATGGATGGTGTTGTTGGTACTCTGCTAGAGTGAGTGAGTTAGAACGAAGAACGAGTGGTTTGTTGGTTTGGTTTGGTTGAAGCGTACATAACAAGAGACATAATTCAGCTTATTAGTATTGTTATTACTATGTATGGACGGTGGTGGTAGTGCTTGGGTTGGGATGCTTTTTTACTATTATTACTATCGGTAGTAGTAGTAGTAATCCTTTTCAATGGCTTTTTATGTGTGTGGGGTTTTGAGGGGGGAAGAAATGAGAAAACACTAGTTTACAAGCCTTTTCTTTATTATTACAATAATTATTGGCATATTGGTTAGTAATGATGGTAGTAACTAAATATTGATAGAATAAATGATGAGAATGATCTGGGTGGGAAGTATTTATTTATTTGTTGTATGAATGAACAGAAGCACTCACTAGTTCTGGAATGTTCTATTGTTTATACTATTACTTATTTAAATTCTTATGTATATTTGTTGAAATGACATCCATCAATAAATAGCGGGCTTTATATATACTCGCTCCACTTTATTGTGTACAAAATGTTGATCCCATCATCCTTCACTCTAAAAGCCTTTGGAGCAAATGAGATATATATATATACTTGGTACTGAGACCTTTTCATACAAACTTATTTTATTTTTCTTCAATTAAAGTCATATTGGTTCAAATTTAAGTATTTAATATGTATTTATTTGTGATTAATATAAAAGTAACTTTATACAAAATACTAGTATGAAATTTTAATATATATGTATTAAATAATATTAAGTTTATTTATTAAAATTAATAAATTAATTCCACAACACTAATTTGACATTTGAGTTTAGATGACAACCAAAACACTCCAAATTATCTATCTAGTCAAATACGTACAAACAAAGATATTTTTCTCTTACCATTTTAATTTTCCTCGTTCCCTCCTATTCGCGAGTCGTCGCCTTTTTCTTCTCCTCTCTTCTGTCAAATCGACTCCATCTCCTCCAATCCCATCTGGACTCTATTCGAATTCGAAGACTCTGTTTGTTATTCGACCTGATTCAGGTTTTGATTTTTTTTGGTCCTCATCTCGCGTATGGTGGTCATCTTAGATCTGTTCTTATACCGTTAGTTGTGCTAGATCTGGATTTTCTTTCTTCGAGGAAGGGATTTTGACCCTTTTAAATTATCATTGTTTTATATGGTATGTGATTTGTATTTGTCTTTAGATCTATAGCTTTCTTGCACCGATTTTTGACTACCAATGAAAACACATATGTGATACACTTCCCCCAAGTGCGGTTGTAATTGGTAGGTTTGTAGTAATCTTTTAGTGCTCCCTCTCGGGATTGATTTCTTCTATTATCCGTATCTATTATGGCGGACGCTTTTTTAGCTTTATTCAAGTTGCTTCAGATTTCCCTTTTTCTTTTTGCAAGTAGACAGTAGCTTTATCATGCCTTGATATTACGTATTTTTAAAAATATACATAAATTGATTAGTTTGAATATATCTGAAGTTGGAATTAATCCTTTGTGCTTGATCTCTGATGAATATTGGGCGTTCCTTGCTTGCAGATATACTTTTATTGGTAGCATAGGTCAGTGTTGTCTATGGCTTCCTTGGATATGTTGTTGGATGATATGATAAAGAACACAAGTAGTACTGGTAGAGGCGACCGAGGACGAGGACAGCCAGACATACTTTCGTTGGTAGCATTCACAAACGATTATGTAACTTCAAACCCAATGAATTGATCCGACCCCGGATCAAAAAAGTTTCCAGTTCAAGTTCAACCAGAGATTTCTGCTTCACATGTTTATTCTCTAAATCTCTGGTTGATCGCATATCTATCCAAATACCAACGTAGGTCTAATAAGAATCTTCGATTAATTGTTTGTCTTTTGTGGGGTTACCCTTTTCAGCATTGCCGTGTTTAGTAATTTTGATGCAGCAGCTTTCGTCGCAAGCTCTTGCTCCACCACGACAGCTGCCGCCGGGGGTGCGATGGTTCCCCAGCCTCGCTTCGCCGGAGAGGTCTCTCAAATTCCACAAATTCTTGGTTTTGCTGCTCACCTTTGCTGCCTACGCATCTTTCCATGCGTCCCGTAAACCTCCCAGCATAGTTAAATCCATCCTCACATCCCCAATCAACGAGTCCCTAGCCGCCAACACTAGTTCTGATCAGGGGGGATCCGAATCCTCCCAAACCCCATCCCAGGGTGTAAAGGGGTGGCCCCCATTCGATGGTCCCCGTGGCCCCCATCATCTTGGCGAGCTCGATCTCTCCTTCCTGCTGGCATATGCCATCGGCATGTATTTTTCTGGCCATGTTGCTGATTCGATTGATTTAAGGATTTTCTTGACTGTAGGGATGGTGGGAAGTGGCATCTTTGTGATACTGTTTGGGTTAGGGTATTTTCTTGATCTGCATTCTTTAGGTGCTTTTGTGTTCATACAGGTCTTTTGTGGGTTGTTTCAGTCCATCGGATGGCCGTGTGTTGTGGCTGTCGTTGGAAACTGGTTTGGGAAGGCGAAGAGAGGGTTGATCATGGGAGTGTGGAATTCCCACACTTCAGTGGGCAACATTTTGGGATCTTTAGTGGCTTCTGCGGTTCTGTTGTTTGGATGGGGCTGGTCTTTCGTCGTGCCCGGCATTCTTATCATTCTTGTGGCTACTTTTATTTATATATTTCTTGTTGTGCGACCTGAAAATGTTGGTATGGAATTGTCTGAAGAAGAAAGCACTGCTGCAACGACAGCAGCTGAAGGTATAGCATTGGTTGATAGCGGCGAGGCAGAGTCTGTAGATGGGGAAGGGGTGGAAACTGAGGATGAGGGAGCTTTGGTTCCAATAGGTTTCTTAGATGCGTGGAGATTGCCACACGTAGCATCGTACGCTTTCTGCTTGTTCTTCTCCAAGCTTGTGGCCTACACATTTCTATATTGGCTGCCATTTTACATTAGGCATACAGGTATTTTATCCTTCTTTCGCCATTTTTTGTTGGTGCTTATTGTTATGTTAGTTTTAACTTGGAATTTTCTTGGCTTAGTTCTTAGCTGTATATGAATTGCCTAATCGAATACTTGGTTGCATTCATTCACCACCTGGAATTTGTACTTTCATTTTGGAGGATTTTGGGATTCTTTGTTTACAAGCCAATGTTTTCTCGTGTTGATGATGCTTATGTTATGTTGGTGATTCTTGAAAATTGCAGCTGTTGCTGGAGTGCATCTATCCCACAAGACAGCTGGGATTCTATCGACAGTCTTTGACATAGGAGGAGTCGTTGGTGGAGTAATGGCTGGATTTGTGTCTGACATTATTGAGGCGCGGGGTGTGACTGCGCTTATGTTTTTGATCCTGTCAATTCCAATGCTGATTTTGTATCGCCTCTATGGAAGCGTATCAATGCTCACAAACATAGCATTGATGTTCATGTCCGGCTTGCTTGTCAACGGGCCGTACGCTCTGATAACAACAGCAGTCGCTGCTGACCTAGGCACACAGAGCTTGGAGAAAGGAAACTCGCGCGCATTAGCCACTGTTACAGCGATTATAGATGGCACTGGATCAGTGGGTGCAGCCCTGGGACCTCTTCTGGCTGGTTATATTTCGACCAGAGGATGGAATAGCGTTTTCTTCATGCTGATTGTTTCGATATTGTTCGCGGGATTCTTGCTGTTTCCTGTCGTCAAAAATGAAATTAGAGGGAAGTGGGACGAAGGTAAATGGATTCGATTCGCATAATTCCGAATTGAGATGGCTAACACATGAGTTCGATCGAGGGCCAGGTACATATATACAAACAAATCATAGAACATTATCACTCTGGATATTTAAATTTTCCAGCGCTAGAGATTCATCATGTATGTATGTATTTGTATGCTGCAGCAGGTTCATGCAGATTTTGATTGTGGGCAGCAGGCATTGCATTGTAAGATCTAGATAGAATATACATTGATTTTCTCGAATTTATCGGAATATATTTGTTGATCAATTTACTTAACCAATTTTATATCAAATCAAATCTCAACTAACCCAAAACCCTACCCATCCTCTATAATAGTAAGGGTTGGCCAACACTTCCAAGAAGACAAGCAACGACCGATAGATGACATTAATAGTTATGGTCAAGACAAACTTAAATCTACTCGGTGAAACTTGCTTGGCTTTAACACCAACATTTCTTACTAGCTATCATCAACACGCACTATATATTTATTCCCATTTTCATCAACTCCAAATTACAAACTTTTGTTTCCCAACCTATTAAAGACGCCAAGAATGGTGGTAAGGCATTTTGTAGCATTACTACTGGCGACTGCAGCGGTCTTTGTAGGCTCTTTGCCATCATCCCCCGTCACATTCATCTTCGGCGATTCTTTGACAGAAGTAGGCAACAACAACTACCTCCCGCTCTCACTTGCCAAGTCCAATTATCCCCACTACGGCGTCGACTTCAAGGATGGCAAAGCCACTGGAAGGTTCACCAACGGAAGGACTATCGGTGACATTATATGTAAGCATATGTTCAAATACATAAATACATGTAATTCTTACCAGATTTTTCAAAAAAAAAAAATCATCTTAGAATAATGGCCAATGACCCTACTAGCATTTCAAGGTTCATATATATTTACTCATATTTCGATGATATTTACTAAAAAATATAATTCTACTTTTTATTATTACAATTAATACAAACTTACAGAACATCATAAAGCCTTCACCCTATAAGCTTAGAAGAAACTAATCTGGGCAATAGTACACCATTTCAGCTGCTAAGCTCGGGATTCCACCGCCGCCCCCATTCCTATCCCTATCTCCAACTGACGAGCATGTCTTGAAAGGGGTGAATTACGCTTCCGGCGGAGCTGGAATACTAAATGACACCGGCACTTATTTCGTAAGAATACAACACAATACAAATAGATGTAAATTATATATATATAAAAAAAGGTACATATAAGAGAACTTGAAATATTTTTTACTTTTTTTCACAGATAGAGAGGCTGACATTCGATGATCAAATAAATAATTTTGCAAAAACAAAGGTGTGGATGAAGAACAAAATAGGAGAGGAAGAAGCCAACAAGCTTTGCAATGAAGCCCTCTACTTCGTGGGAATAGGTATGTCATTGTAAATCCAATAGATCGATTCCAGTCAAGCATCAAACTTCTCGGCAATCAGCTCAACTTGTTCAAAACCATCAACAATGCCAATATGAAACATGTATAGCTAGACCAGATAAGCTCAAATCCCACAAACTAGGGGATAATCCAATATTATCCAACTCAAACTAGCAAGAATGAAACAAAACAGATTATGTGCAATAAAACATGCCAGAGTTATAACTGATTCGAGATTGAGTTCAGTTTTTTATGAAATAAAACTTACAGGTAGCAATGACTATGTGAACAATTTTCTTCAGCCATTTCTAGCAGACGGGCAACAATACACTCATGACGAGTTTCTGGAGCTTCTCACCTCCACATTGGCTGAACAGCTCATGGTACACAAGATAATACTCACCCTTACTTCATTTCTCATTATCACAATTTATTTTACTGTGCTCAAAATCCTGACAGTGCAACTCTGGACACATTTCACTAAGTAATTTATGCAATAAAATTGATACACTAATAACTTAACCTTGGTACGTATAACTGTCATGGCATGATGCCTACTTGTGTTAATACAAGGTTGGTGTGATGTGATTCTATTAGAGGCTCTACCAGCTCGGTGCAAGAAAGACAGTGTTTCATGGTCTAGGACCACTTGGTTGCATTCCCTCCCAAAGGGCAAAATCAAGCCGAGGGGAATGCCTAAAGCAAGTCAATCTATGGGTGCAGCAATTCAACTCCAAAGTGCAGAAACTGATATCTACTCTAAATGCCCACTTGCCATCATCACAACTTGTTTTTGCAGACACCTATGGAGCAGTCTTACATCTGATCCAGAACCCAATGTCATACGGTAAGCATCACATACGCTCTAACACACATTATTCCTTATTCAATCAAAAGCGCTCCTCAAGCTCCATAAAATGAGTTGGCATATTGAGCTAGATCGAATATCTATCCAATGTTAGATTATTGCAAATTATCACACAAAAAAGTTAATTCATTCTAAAATAAGACGAGTATGCTACCAACATTATTAATGATTGTATCACCAGGTAATCTCAATTTGTGTTATATATAAAACCCATCTTAACTGTGTGAAGTATGTATCACCAGGTAATCTCAATTTGTGTTATATATAAAACCCATCTTAACTGTGTGAAGTATACCCTAGCTTACATGAAACCATTCATTTATACATGCAGGTTTTAAAGTATCAAACACATCATGCTGCAATGTGGATACAAAGGTAGGAGGGCTTTGCTTACCCAACTCAGATCTGTGCAAAGATCGGCACGAGTTTGTGTTTTGGGATGCTTTCCACCCTTCGGATGCGGCTAATGTCATACTCGCAGAAGCCTTTTTCAACATCATATTTACCAAGGCGTGACATAGTCTAATCCCGAAGTCAAGATCACAAGGCAACAACATAGTTTGTATCACAAAACTATCTATCACCATCACTAAATATGTGTGTTTACATATACTGATACTAGAGAGAGAATTTTCCAGGGAACCACTGATGATAAGAAATGTGAATGCAAATGCGGTAAGACCCTTGCAGACTTGCAGTATACTAATTACAAAAGGCACATAAAAAATATTAATACGATTAAAATCCATTGTAAACATATTAACACGGTCGATGCTCTCAGTTATTGGGCCAATAGTTTTCCACATGAGAGTACTGATGAGAATTCCTCAGTAATTTTAACCCAAAGGAAGAAAAAATTCAATCCGAACAGCTTTTCAGTGCCTTCATCTGAACTCCATACAGAGAAAAGATTCATAAAGCAACTGCCAAGCAAATCCAAATCGAAGACCTCCTTCGACCTAAAATCAATTCGGAATGTGCAGTCTCATCACCCTCTCTTCGGTGTGGTTAAAGCAAATCCATCATCATCGAGCAATATTCAAACCAGAATCGTTAAATAGAAAAAGGGAAAAAAAAAATTACGTGTGGAACCTACGAGAAAACACAGGATCCAAGAGTTGAAATCAGATCTGCGTGTCCATAGGAACCAATAACAAAGAATTGCTTTAGCATCCTTTCGTATTTCCTCCGTAATCTTGCTAGTGTACAGACAAAATCATAGAGGATGCAAATCGATGTGATTTATCCAAGAATTACAACAACCAACACACAATTGCCGAAAAAAATAATAAAATAGCAAGCACAAATCCGAAGAGCTAAGAGGATTGCAACTCAAGTCGAAATTACCATCGCACAATTAATCACAAAGAAAGAATACGGACGAGCGAACATAGAAGACGTCGGATCTGAAAACTAGGGCGGGCGAAGCAATGTAAGCAGTGTCTATATATAAGCGAGAGAATTTAGGGTTTTAAGAAGTAGGGCCTGGCCATATGGTATAATTATAAATCAATAAGGCAAGGCCCGCATAAACACTTAAATGGGCCTCTCTGAAATTTGGGCTTATTTTATTGCATAGCCCAATTGTTTTGGAAATTAAGAGGGGGAATAATAAAAAGGAAGAAAGAAGAGGACGAAAATGTTGTACAATTTTATTGCATTCTTCCAGAGCTTTTACTTTAAGAGATAGAAACAAAACAAAAAGAAAAACAGACACTGTTCCAATGCAGAATAAAAAAAAAAAAAAAAAAACTTTGTTATCTATCGGTGCTTAAAAGCTTTTCTTTCCAAATAAAATAAAAGAGAATCATGCATGTGTGTAATGTAAAAGCCTGACAAGAATAATTTGGGGTGCAAATACAATTATGTAAAGTCAATGCAGACCTGGTCAAAGTTGCCATCATACTTTGAAAAATTAGCATCTGCATATATATGTATATATTTTATTGCGTTAAATGTCAACGTCAACCCCAAAGATTTTGGTATTTATCTTTTTGACCCACGAATAACATATCGATTCAAGTCTATGTGCTTAATGACAATATTGACTTTAGCACTTGAATGACATTCTAATTCTAATAAGATGATTATATAATTCATTCTAAGATGAGTCGTATTTTGGTTGTGAACAATAACCTTGGTCTTGGTCTTCGTCTTGCCTTCCATTTTGTTTTCTTTGTATGAAATCTACAAATTTATAAAATATTTTGAATATTTAGACTCCCTTTATTTTAAGTTTTTGAATATTAAATCAACAATATAAAGTTAAACATATTTTTTTATATAATATATTATATTCAATATGTATATTTTATTTAACTTTTTATTATTATTTTAAATTCTCAAAAAATATGTAAATGCACTTAACGTTTGTGGTTAATTTGAGGTTCGAATTAAACTAATAAAATATAAAGGTTCAATGTTAAAAAATATATATCAAAATTGTAAGGGACATATGGGGCGTGTTTGGTTTGTGTTTTGGGTTTGTGTCATGTATTGTACAGTTTTTTATGTGATTTTTTTTTTAAAAAAAAAAAATTATATATATTTTTTGTTTGTTTGTTTTGTTCTGTGAATTTGAAATGATTATTTTATGTTAGATATAAATAAATGTAATAGTAATATAAAAAATAATGTTAAAAGAATTTATAATTATCTTTTTAAAAAAAAAAAAAAGAAATTGTTAAAAGAACATAGCCAAACACATTATTATTATTTTCTTTAATATTTTCAATAAAAATATACTAATTTTTATATAAGATGTCACATCAAAAACTTATTTTACTTAATAATACAAGAAAAATCAATGTGGAAAAAATACCTATATATATACACACAAAAATCTAGGATGATGAATAATTATGGATGAGTGTTTATTTTGTATTTTTAGTTTAATATCTTTTTTATATTAGATGTATTGGTATTTTGAATTATTGAAATTTTTGAGTTGATAAAATACATGTATTATATATTACTATATCTTCATCCACTAATACTATTGGTTATTGCAATTCTAACTTATACATCTTTGATTTAATTGAAATATATTTCTAACGTAAAGTAATTTAAGTCAAACATCATATAAATATTATTAGCATTTGACATAGAAATAGAATGCTGCATATTCATTCTCCTATGTGAATAACACAACTCCCTCGACAAATAATATTACAAGGTCAAATACCAATTAGACTCGCAGAATTTAAACTTAATGGTGATACGTCAATGGATGTAAAATAATAAATAAAACTAACCAAAAGTAATTATAAAACATAATTACATAAAAATGCTTCTAGTTGTAGTTGTAGTTGTCGTTGTATGGACGATAAATTAAAGAGGTACAAGATTCGACTATAAATAGACAGTTGAATTAATGAATCGGTTTATCTTATCAAAAACATTACTCATAATGATTGATTATTCATATAATTGTTTTAGTAATGATATACATACATGTAAAAGAAGTGAAAAATCAAGTTTAAACTTAGTGTCGTATCATATTTGGTTTGTAAATTTCCTGCCATCCGACTATTGAGATAATAAAATAAATATGTCAACATAAATCTAAAACAAATGATTTTCAAAATACTGTCTCCCCCCAAAAAAATAAAATCTTCTTATGAAAAATATAAACAAATTTGGTCATATATATATATATATATATAATGACAACTAAATTGTATCTTACGTGATTTATTTGTTCTGCGATTCAATGTACAATTATAATTCAATAAATACAAAAACAACATAAGAAAAATAAATACAATACCAAAACCTCCACTCTCCACTCACAATTAGAATGTTATGATTCCCAGAAGATACACAAATAGAAAACGCTATTTTTCGTTTTTTTTTTTTTTTTTTTAGTGTTTTAGATATAAAATATATAATTTTAATTTCATATTTTAAATAATAAATATGTTATGATATAATATTTTTTTATAAAAAAATCGAAAACTGATTATGTTAATGAAGTCAACATTGTATTAATTATTTGAATTATTCACTCTTTACTAGCCTGACTGATATTTGTAATGCAGACTTTTTACAACTTGTTAGTATTATTTATCAATACTAATTTTTGTAAATATCCTATCAAATATTTTTTTTTCCTAATATTATATTGAATATTAATTAAAGCTTTATTTATTTTTCTATCAAAAATCAAAAATTTCAAAAAGTCTGCGGAGGCTGTATTGTAAATTGTAATTGCTGCTCAAAATTTCTGAAACATCTTCTTCTATATTAGACCTTACTACAACTGCTGCTTGTAGTATTTATATTCATTTATTGCTTAACACAATAGACATTAATGAATATCCACAGCACCCTTCTCCTTTTTTTTCGTTCAAGTAATATATGTACATTTATTTATTTTTATTATTTTGTATATCCCATTTAAATTGTTCTATTATAATAAAAATAATTTTATATTAATATCGAAATACTGTTAATTTTTATATAAATTATTAGGATATCATTAGTCTATATTACTTATTATTTTATACATATATAAAAAAAATAAAAATATTATTACATATTTTTACTAAATAATAAAATATTATTATCTTTCATTTGTCATATTTATTGCAACATCGGATGCCACCATTGTTCAACTCATAAGTAAACAATGTTTATTCTATTATTATTATTTTTCCTTTGGTTAAAAAAAAAAAACTCCCATAAGTCCAAAAATAGAGAGAAAACAATAGTAATAAAATAATAATAAAAAAGTAAAAAAAGTTTAAGCTGGGTAATATATTAGTCTCAAAATTTATACAAACATGTTTTATTTTTTGCATGATTTTGTAGGTATTACGGTGTGTTTATTTTGTATTTTAAACTCAAATAATTATTATTTAGCCTGTACGATTTTTATTAAAAACATATTACTTTGTTCAGTAATAAATTTTTTATTTATCATTTTAATAGATTCAAATTAAATAAAAAATTTCAATTTTCAACTAAACAAGAGTAAAATAAATATTATTTTATTTCATTATATTATATTATATTTTTATAAAATATTAATTTACTTGTAAAAATCAAATAAAAACACTTACTCGTAAACTAATGAAGTATTAATTAATTAATTAAAATAACTGGATTGGATGAGACAAATGAGGGGAAGTGTGTAAGTCAACATGGGATGAAATGCTTGACGTTGTTTGAATTAAGAACCCAAAATTGAAAAAACACCCGTGATGCTTCAATTTAATTTATTTAAATTATAATTTATCCTTTATATATATATATATATATATATATTAAAAAATATTTAATTGTAATACTATTTTACAAAAATAATACTAAATTTTTTAATAAAAGTTCATAAAAGTAGATATAAAAAAACATTCCTTTAGTGAACGAACCTGTGTTTGTTTCTTATTTTTAATTTTAAGTGGTTTTTAGATAGATATGAAAAATCATATTAGTAATATAAAATTTTGTGTGAATATATGTATTTATTGTTAAGTATTCCACATTGGATGTAATGTTGGGATTTTCCTACCTTACAAGGGGTGAAAGACTATTCCACTTACAACCAATTAGCTTTAAATTAGAATCTCGAATCCTCATCTTAACATGATATCAGAGCCATGATGCCCGTAGAATTCATCTCCCCAGTGAGAACTTGTCGTCGTTACCCCCAAAAGTAGACAAGTTAGCTGGAACAGAAAAAATATTATATTGATATAATTCTTGTTTATCTTATTTTATTGTTTTTTTCTTATCTGGCAGTGTATTGAATTTGATTCAGCACATTAATAGCCCCGCGATTTGTGTGACATTGATGCTGAGAGACCGAATAAACCAATCCCATATTATATGTAATAAATTTATTTATTTTTCGTATATAAATGTATACGGGAAAAAACCCGTAATGGTTAAATAAACGAAAAAGATTAAAGGGTGATGATATGCGGTGCATGGTGCGGTGGCGCGGTGGCGAAATTGACAAAAACGCAGCACTCATTTCGGGCAGCAGTCCACGTGGCCACTAGGGCGCGAAGGTCCCTGGACCGCCTCAACTAGTAAACACCCGGCCCCCAAGCTTTTTCTGTCTGTCTCTCCGGATATATATATCTACAACATAAAACACAAATATATATAGGTACGCTTGGCGATCGAGTGGAGGGGCGATGATGGTATAAATGAATGAATGAGTGAGTGTGGTAATTAATATATGATCTGAATAGATTGATGAGAGGGAGGGGGAGATCAGGGAGGATGGGGAGGCAGCCGTGCTGTGAGAAAGTGGGGCTGAAGAAAGGGCCCTGGACTCCCGAGGAGGACAAGAAGCTCACCGACTTCATCCTCGCCAACGGCCATTGCTGCTGGCGTGCCCTCCCCAAGCTTGCTGGTGCTGTTGCTGACTATCATCATCATTAATATATGTATATATGCATTGACATCACTCATTCATTCATCAATCAATCAGGGCTGCTGCGGTGCGGGAAGAGCTGCAGGCTGAGATGGACAAACTACCTGAGGCCGGACCTGAAGCGAGGGCTGCTCTCTGAGGCCGAGGAGAAGCTCGTCATTGACCTCCATGCCCAGATCGGCAACAGGTAGCTACACGTGCATTGCATGCAACTATGACTTATATATATACATTCTTTCAGGGTTTTACTTTTTAAACAAGTTTTATTTATTTGGGCCAATATTTTTGACTTTGAATCTCCTCCCTCCCTCGTTCCCACCGGACGACGACGACGATGTCACTCGCTTGTTAATTTGTCCGTGTTGTTGTATATACATTTATTTATTATTACATCATTTTTGGGAAAAACAAAATAGAATAAATGCAAATACAAATACATGGTTTTTTGGTCCACCCGCAGATGGTCCAAAATTGCAGCTCAACTCCCGGGAAGAACAGACAATGAAATCAAGAACCACTGGAACACCCTGATCAAAAAAAAGCTGAAGAAGATGGGAATCGACCCCGTCACCCACCAGCCCCTCCACCCGCCGCCCAATACTAATGATGATGATAAAAACAAGGAGCTGGGTGGTGGTGGTGGTGGTGATGGAGGGCTGTTCAGCATCGACGAGATATCTCTGGTGGAGCCTGAACACGACATCATTCGTCCGGAGAATATTCCCTCGTCGTCGTCGTCGTCGTCCTCCTACTCTGTGAACTCCTCCGGGGCTGGGCTGTCCGAATTAGATCCTCCTCCTCAGGGCAACTCGGGGATTCATTTCGACTACTGCAAGGACATGATCAACAGATACGACATCTGGGAAGATGATTTCAGAAACACTATTAGCTATAACGAATGGGGCAGTTTGTTGGATGATTTTGGTGCTGCAGCCCAAGGGATCAATTGTTATTACTATTGTAATAATGGCGATAGTGGCGGTGGTGGTGACGACGACGACGACGATGATCTTACGAATGCCGTCGATGACATCTGGGATTTCGATTAATGCCATGTTGATATATCCCATGCCGTACGTAATAACGTAATAATGTAATTATCGGAGTGCTGATGACGATCGGTCGTTGTTTCTATCCACTCTCCTTTTAGAGGAATAAAAAAATAAAAATAAAAAACGATGTTTGTATTGTATGTACAATTTCTGGGAGTAAGGCCATCAGCATAAAAAAAAGCTCTCCAGTTTCTCTCAATTTTCACCTTGTACTCTTTTTTTTCTTTTTTTTTTTTTTTTTTTTTTACATTCTCTTTCTTTCGCTTCACTAAAAAAAAAAATACATATTTTTTAATTTATATCAAAATAATTAGTAATATAATTAAATTTAAATAAAATTATATCAATATATATTATTTCGTAAAGAATAAAATACCGCTATTAATAGATTTTGCACGTAGATTTTTTAATATTAGTATTATATTGGATTGTAGTGAAAAAGACAAAAATACCGCTATTAATATGGTGTATAATACATTTACTAAATTAGAAAATGATAATATTGTTTTAGGACGGACAAAAATAGAAAACAATAACCTTTTAATGGGACGAATGGAGTATATTAGATTGCTCCTCTGCACCCATTACTTTCTCCGTCCCACATAATTTGTCTCTTTTTTTATTTTCGTCCGTTCCATGTAACTTGTCCTTTCTATTTTTGAAAATATAATTATGCACTTTTTATTTATCTTAATCTTAATCTATAATTATATTTACTAAATAATAATTATTTTTACTAATACACTTTTTAATTATTTACTAATTATATTTTATCTAAATTTTTATGTCTACAGTAATACATCAATATTACATGGGACGGAGGGAGTACGTTTTTTAATAATTTTCGATGTTTGTGAAAAAAAAAAATGAAAAAACTTATTTATAGACTACACGATGAGAACAGGGTTTGTTTGTTTATATATATAAATCAACAATCATTTGAAAATCTTGGGTTTATATATACAAAATATTTTGAAGTTTTTGTAAATGTTCAATAGTTATTTTTTATTAAAAAATATTAAATCAAATTATTTTTCTGAAAATTATTAAATCAAATACATAAGTCTTATTATCATCAAAGTATTGTCAAAACTTATATCCAAACTAATGCTATCTTTTTCTACAATCTTTCAAAATATTTAAATGACATATTAAATCAAATAATACTTAATGCTATTGAGATACATATTAAATCAAACTGATTTGAAAATCTCTCATTTTTTTCACAATTTTTTAAATTACTTAACGCACATGATATCGAATATGTATTATATAATGAAGAATATTGTAAAAATTAATATATTAAAAAAATATGTGAAAATTTTTATGACAAATTATAATGTAAATATATTAGTAACTATTGTCATTATATTTTATCATATAAATATTTAGTCCCATAATGTTTGTGTTATTACAATTATGCAAAATGTATCTAGAAGAATTTACACAAGTATAATTATATATGATTGGATTGGCATAATATTGAATATGTGTTATATAATGAATAAAACTTTGAAAATTAACAAATATAAAAATAAATAAATATATATATATGAAAACTTTTATGAAAAATAATGTATTGTAATAATTGTTATTATAATTAATTAAAATATTTAATTTAATTTAATTCAACAATGTTCCGGATATTATAATTATTCGAACTGTATTTAGAAGAATCTTACAGAAGTATGTATACATATAATTCAATTAAATTATATATAAATTTAAGTATGATAAGAATTCAAAATATTTAGATATACACAATATTATTTTACTTGAAAATTAGTTCAACTCCGTCATTGCAATACATTTATACCACTTTTGTGCAGTGAAATTCAACAAAAAAAACTAATTATGACAATTATTACACAATTTTCTTGAGATGTTGAACATCAATAAGTTCAATTCATTTGACAATAAAGAAGTATTTGATCTTCGTGTAAGAATAAGCAAATGAAAATAATTGTATTGAGAAATCATATATATACATACTTATATTTAAATTAAAATATATCTACTCTTGTTAATGTAAAAACACAAAAAATAAAAATAAAAATCGATCTTTTGTGTATTTGATATTTCAACCATTCGAAAGATTGATAATTATTTCAAATGCAAATGAAATATATTTTTGTTCTTCTTTGACAGGTCTTGCACCTACTATAACAATAATAAAAATAAATAAATAATTTGAATGATCGAGTAAATGATTTATAATATCATATATACAATTTTTGTTTAGTTTTTGTCGTGTTTGAAAAAATTTGTTGTACAACAAAATAATCGAAACAATATCAACATCAACACCAACAAATATATATATATATATATATGCATATATGTTTTGCATTGGTCATAATTAATTCGATAACTAAATATTTGTTGGAGGTATTCTTGACATGTACCGTTTATGGAAAGAGTTACCAATTAAAATACATAGTGAAATTTTGTATAATTTTAATGTATCATTTCTCCTTGTTGTTGTAGATATATTCAAATAAATGGAAGCATAATTTAGCCTGTTAAACGCTCGACAAAGTTAGTCGCATTGTTTTTCAATGGTTGTTTTTTTTTTTAATCATTGTATCTAAGTTGAAATTTAATCAATGTCTATTTTGGTTTAGATGAATTTAACTTTTCCATCTAAGTCGAGCAAGCTTTTGTATAATTGAGTTTGCATCCACCTAAAAATTATACACTCGAAGTAGTGACTACATATTCTTATGTGATAAAAATAAGTTAAATTATGAATACACATACATAAACAACATATAGAAAATAAAGAATACCTAATAACAAAAAAAATAATAATATGAAACAATTCAAAATTAGTTGTGATTTTTTTAAAATTACGTTCACCTTGCATCTTGTTAAAAACATTTCTTAAATTTCATTCATAAGTCATATAATTTAGTCTTATATATTGATATTTACAATTTATTAATATCATTCTTAAACACTTAAAATTTTATAATTTTTGTTAAAAATAAATAAATTATATCGATAGGTATTCTTAAACAAAGATAAAAATGATTAAATTGAAATTGAAGAGAAAAATAACTAATAAATAACAACAATAACTGCTCTCATGGGTTGTTCTTTGAATTATATTTGATTTTGATTATTAATTTAAATGTTATTTGAATTTATATTGAAATCATATTTTTATAAAATATGAAAATTCTATTGAATGGTTAAGAATGAGGGAGACAAAACTTAATTAGAATTATCAATAGTGTGGCATATCCGATTAACATACACAATGTCGATAAAAATCAACAGATTATTTTAGCTGGATGAATAACTTGTCTAGCAACAATAGAAGCAAAAGTTGAAACAGTTAACACAAATCAATACAATGATCTGAACATACACAGAAATCTAGACAAATAAATAACATAAAACTCAGTTGATTTTACTGACGACCACCAGCGCCATTTCCAAACATATCACACACACCATTATAATATAATCTGCACTGCATTGTACTGTATATATATATATACATACATATACATATACATGCATACATCCACGCAAATTACATGCACCTTTCTCCCACGTTGGAAAACGAGCAATTCCTGCCGATATTATCTATTACTATAACATAAAAAAGTCACAAAAAAACAAATCTATGGATTTTTAAAATAAAGAATTCCTGCAGATGCTATTTACTGCACTATAATACAATCACAAGATAACGAGTCTATGAATCTGTATTCATGTAAAACAAAATTTATTATTCACAACATTTGATTTTGCATTATATATAATTACATTTTTATTTTTTATTTTTTTTGTCATATTCTACTTAAACATGTAACAAAATTTACTATTACTATTACTATTATTTTTATTATTAACAATTGATTTTTATTATTTTTTTTATGCATAAGGGAGGAAAGTATTTTAGTTTTATATAAATATAATAAGTAAGGTCATTCTCATATTTTGATAACAAATTAACAATTATTTTTATATATACTATTATTTTGTGCTTGGTATTTAAAATTATTTGTAAAGAAAAACTTGAAGCACTGTATTACACTTACAATGCGCAAATATATACATTAATGTAAATTATATACATCATTCTCTCTTATTGGAAAATGAAGATTTTTTGCAAAGATTTATTTATTAATTATAATATAATAAAATTATAGAAAAAAAAGTATATGCATTTATTTTAATTTATATTCATATCCATGTGAAATAAAATTTGCTATTGCATGTTTAATTTAACATCATATATAAATAATTTTTTTGTTATCTTCTGCTAAAAAGTAGTATAATGTAATAATAATAAAAATACCATCATGAGAAATTAATCCAAGTGGATTTGGTGTAGTCGATGCCAAAAATGGATTGCGGAGATGAGGGCGACTGAGAGCCCTTGGCCTTCCCGATGATGGCAAGCAGTGAACAACAAACAGCAATTTAAATGGTGGTTTAAGGTGACGATTTTTGCGTGGAGATAATTTGATTAATGGGGCGAAGAAGCATCTACCAAAAATATCAATTAGGTAAAATTAAAGATTAATGCAGTCAAAATTTGAAATTGTTTTACTTTTGAGATAAAATGAGTTGATCTCAATTTGTGCTAAGAATAAACTCATTGAAGTTAATTGGCCCGATGAGATGAACATCTTGGCTTAATTAAGCACTCATGTTGGAATCTTCAAGATGTCATCGAGTCCATGGTCGAAGAGGAGTGAGTAGTTATTCCAATTTGAAGCCCACTTCTAGTACTAACTTTAATCATAAGTATTGTAAATGTTGGCTGGCTTTGTGATACCGATGATGCCTTGCCTTGCCTTGCCTAGTAAAATCACCAAAAAGAGGTTTATTAGATTTTGAAAGATATTCAAAGGCTTGTAATCGTAAGTCACCATTTTTTCTTTGTAGCAGACATCGGATCTCTTACAATTGGAGTGGAGTTCCACAATTCCAGGCACCACATGTTTCATTCATTACTGTCGCTTAAATTAATTTTCAAAAATTTAGTTGGTTGAAAATTAATGGATTATCTGAGTTAATTAAAAAACAAAAAAAATTCAAAATCATGTCAGAATAGTCCCAATAGATGAAAGCAAAATCGGGAATGAAAACTACTTTGGCAAAACTACTTTGGCAAAAGGGTTGAGAATTGGGTCTGGTCAAATGCTGGATGATAAATCCTTACAGAAAATGAAGGAAATAATAGCAAAATAAATCAAGAAAGCAAAAGGAAAGCAATAAACTAGAATAAATCTAAAGGGGAAAATTTCTTGGATGAAAAATTCGGCTCCCCCACCGGCTGGGCTGGGCTTGGACTGTTTCATTTCTATCTATCTATCAACCACAGTGGTCTACCCAGCGCCAAATCAATCTCCTATATTTCCCCAACTACCTTACCTAACTCCAAACTTGACCGCTTCTTCTTTCTTTCCAGCCCAAGAATATTTGGGCCTTGAATTTTGGGCTAATGGCTCTCACCTGGGTGGGCCAAAGATGGACAGCCCAAATTGAGATACAGAAAGAAAGGGTAAATTTAGGTGATGTTAGATCATTGATTAATAAGTAATTAATTAGTAGATTGATTAGAAGGGAGGGCGAGGGCGATTGAATTGAAGCCAATCCCTTGTCCCCGTTTTCCGGCATCCCCTTCATTCCCTCTGACCTCCTCACGCTTCTCCTCTCCTCTCCTCTCCTCTCCTCTCATGGCTGCCCTTCCCTTCCCTTCCTAAATATGTGCCCTAACAATAAAATCCACTATCCCACCGCGGCCCCATTCCCCCTCCTCCTCCTCCTCCTCCTCCTCCTCTTTCTTCCTCCCACAACCCCTCTTCATTCCCTCACATTTCCCTACTCCCCGCAGCGGCGGCGGCGGCGGCGGCCATGGACTTCCGGAGGTGGTGTTCTCATCGGGTCCTCCCTTTCTCGCTATTATCGTCATCGTTATTATTAGTATTAGCAATCTTCTTCTCTCAACTAGCCCCTGCGGTTAGGGCGAATGCGGTCTTCCCCGTCCGCCACAAGTACGGCGGCTCCGCCGGCCGGGCGAAGGTGGCGCTGCGCGAGCTGCGCGCCCACGACTCCCGCCGCCACGGCCGAAGCCTCGCCGACGTGGACTTCGCGGTGGGCGGCGACGGGTCCCCGACCAGCGCGGCGCTCTACTTCACGAAGGTCACGATCGGGACCCCCCCGGGCGACTACCACGTGCAGATCGACACCGGCAGCGACATCCTCTGGGTGAACTGCAAGGACTGCGAGAACTGCCCGACCAAGACCGACCTGAAGATCCAGCTGCGGCAGTACGACGTCGGGGCGTCGTCGACGGGGCGGGCGGTGGGCTGTGACCAGGAGTTCTGCAGCGCCGTGTTCCAGGACAACCCCCTGCAGAACTGCAAGGCCGGCATGAACTGCGAGTACTCCGTCTCCTACGGCGACGGCAGCAAGACGCAGGGCTTCTTCGTCCGCGACACCTTCGCCTTCGACCAGGTCTCCGGCAGCCACCAGACCTCCCCCATGGACGGCTCCATCGCCTTCGGCTGCTCCTACAAGCAGTCCGGCGACTCCTCGGCCTCCTCGTCGCAGGCCGTGGACGGCATCGTGGGGCTGGGGCAGGCCAACACGTCCATCCTCTCGCAGCTGGCCCAGGCCGGGAAGGTCCGGCGGGTCTTCTCCCACTGCCTCGACGGCCGCAAGGGCGGCGGCGTCTTCGCCATCGGGGAGGTGGCGGAGCCGCGGTTCAACTCGACGCCGCTGGTGCCCAACCAGCCGCACTACAACGCGGAGCTGGAGTCCATCACGGCCGGCGACGCGAAGCTGCGGCTGCCCTGGGACTTCTTCGGGCTGGCGTCGGCCAACCGGGCGGTGATCGACAGCGGCACCACGCTGGCGTACCTTCCGGCCGACATGTACAACCAGGTAGTGGAGCAGGTGCTGGCGCGGCAGCCGGGGCTGAAGCTGTACCTGCTGGAGGGGGAGTTCAAGTGCTTCAGCTTCGGCGGGGAGGTGGACGAGGGCTTCCCCGTCGTCAGCTTCAACTTCAAGGGGGCCCCCCCGCTGGCGCTGCGGGTGTACCCGCGCGACTACCTCTTCGAGGTGGGCGACGGCGAGTACTGCATCGGCTGGCAGAGCAGCGGGGTGCGCAGTCGCGAGGGCCACGAGATGACGCTGCTGGGGGACCTGGCGCTCTCCGACAAGCTGGTGGTCTACGACCTCGAGCGCCAGGCCGTGGGCTGGACGGAGCACGACTGCTCCACCGGGATCAAGCTCAGGGATAACGCCTCCGGCAACGCCTACGACGTCAGCGCCACCAACCTGTCGGGCTCGCCGCTCTTGAGGCCCTCCTCCTCCTCCTCCTCGATCCTCCTACTCCTTGTATCTCTTGCCTTGCTTCGTCTCCTTCCCTGAATTCATTCGTAGATTCTTTGTTCTTCTCCTCCTTCTTCTTCTTCTTCTTCTTCTTTTAATTTGTTTGCTGGAACTGTGTACATTCTTTCATTCTTAATATTCTCTTTTCTAAGGAAAATGACATTAGTGTATGATATCGTACTATTTTTTGCTTTGTTTTAATTAAAATATAGAATGCCTAAAAATTTTTGTAATTTTTTATTTATATACTTTCATTCTCTTTTTTCTTCATATGCGGGAGTATACTTTTATTAATTTATACAAATATTTTACATATAACATTATCTAAATTTTAACACCTAAAAAAAATTGTTTAAATTAGAGTTTGGATTCAGTTCCGAAGTTTAAGTTTGTAATCTTGTTGATGTATTTTTTCAACAAAAATAAAGTAAAATTCAAAGATATAGAAAATATCCTTAAACTTGATTAATTAGTGCCTGAGATTAGGAATCTCTAAACACTGTAACGTACAGAAACTAAACTGGAAATTAAAAGACTGAAATTTAAAGTGGTGATCCCCAAATCTGACTTTGCTTTGTTGAAGTTGATTGAAGATGCCTTGCCAAATGATGATCCAAATCCTTAAATATTCCCTGGGAAACCGTACTGAAAACCGTCACCCGAACGGTTACAACGTCTCCTTCTCAACCGTCTTCCAACCTTTCTTATGCTGACACGTGTCCCCAGCAGACCAAAATTCCCTATATTTCACTCCTTGAGCCGACCACAGACCTTCCGCTCTTTTGGCCCGACTTCGTCCTTCGTCCGACCTACTTCTTCGCCCGACCCCACTTGGGCCGACCTCCATATCAACCGCCCCCTGTCTTTGATCAAAGGCCTCCGTGTTTGTCCGACTCCTCCTTCTATCCGACCTACAGTTTACCCGACCTGCGGATATCCCATCTCAACGACTTTCCGTCTCGAGGACCTCCCGACTTGAAAACCTTCCGACTCATCGTCTTTCCGTCTTGCGGACCTCCCGACCTGAAAACCTTTCGACTTGAGGTCTTTCCGTCTTGCGGACCTCCCGACCGGAAGACCTTCCGACTTGAGGTCTTTCCGTCTTGCGGATCTCCCGACCTGAAGACCGTCCGACTTGAGGTCTTTCATCTTGAGGGCCTCCCGACCTGAAGACCTTCCGACTTGAGGTCTTTCCGTCTTGCGGACCTCTCGACCTGAAGACCTTCCGACTTGAGGTCTTTCCGTCTTGCGGACCTCCCGACCTGAAGACCGTCCGACTTGAGGTCTTTCATCTTGAGGGCCTCCCGACCTGAAGACCTTCCGACTTGAGGTCTTTCCGTCTTGCGGACCTCTCGACCTGAAGACCTTCCGACTTGAGGTCTTTCCGTCTTGCGGACCTCCCGACCTGAAGACCGTCCGTCCTGAATTTTTCTTAGAAATAAATAAATAAATTTATTTTCCTTGATTTCCTCACGGTGTCCTTCAGCCAGTTCAATCAACCCTATTGCCAGGCCCATTCCTCGTTTTACCTTGGGCTTTTAACCTAATTCTAAATTTCGTACGTAACAACTTGCCCGCCGCCAAGGGACTTTCAAACGCCAATAAATGTTTGGAAGTTCATAAAGCACTACCTTCTCGAGAAACTCCCTTAGCAACTACACCAGTTACTGCAACACTCCTGGTTTATTCCTTCTTCGCAATACAAGCCTGTGTGAATCACAATCCCAAAACATTCTAACTATGGCGAATCAATACATTCCTGCCCTTCCTTTCGACGGAACCCTTCCAGAAGGTCCATTTTCAGCCTCGAAAATACTAACTCCGACGATCCGTCCATATTGCACTACTCCCGAAGATTCAAATCGGATGAGGGAAGTTTTGGAATCTCGCAACGCCTTGGCTATCAACAATCCCAACTACCAAGCAGTTCGCATCCGAGACAGCATCAAGACCCATCTCACAGATCCAAAAGATCTGTATCGTGCTTGGTATCGACGAGTAGCAGAACACTTCCAGACCCAATGGCGATCCCAAAAGATCGATCAAGCAATACTACTGTCTACCATGCCTATCAACCTGCATGAGAAGGTGTTGTTGGCCATGTCCGCCTTCTGGAATGCGGAAAATGGGACTTTCCTTTTGCCCTCGGCCCCCTTTGGCCCAACCCTTATGGACGTGGCCATGATCGCACATCTCCCAGTCGTGGGTGAAGACCCTGTAATGGGAGCCCTAGATGGGCAGGAGCCATCAGAAGACCATCCGGGATGGTCTTTACAAGGTGTGAAGGAATGGGGTTGGACAAAGTTCGCAACCGACCAGCAAGGGGCTCCAGGGACTCCTGTAACCGACCGGGAGCATACTGCCTTTATTCTGTTCTGGCTTTGTAGGTACATCATTGTTTCTCCTTCCAAAAGTGTTCTTCCTTCTCACCTCGACCTGGCCATTCATATTGCGTCAGGTCGGTTCTTCTCCCTTGGTACCCTATTTTTAGCCAATCTGTTTGAAGGACTCACCCGGGTTAGCCTTCGTTTAACAGATAACGATAATAGGAAATTAGACACTGCCGCGTCGGGTCCTTTTTGGTTTTTAGAACTTTGGTTCCGTCTTTACTTTCCCAACGCGTTTAACTTAGGATCTCCGCCCACTATGCCAATATCTGAAAAACATTTAGGATTAGTCCTCAACCGACTCTGCTCAGGACACAATAAACTCCAATCATCCGATCCAATAATAACTGCCATTTTAACAGATACCCGCAGTAACTCTCGATTTTCTATGTATAAAAAGTATGCGGGTTATGCTCCCGACCATTTTTGGCCCTTTCCAGTACCAAACCCGCTTCCGACTCCTGAGCCTTGTCCTCATCCCACCTATCCTTTCGCCTGGGACGTCGCCCTCAAACCCAGGTCTCTTTTTAGTAGCAAGAAACTTGATAAAAAAGGGCAGAAAACTTTTTACACTTTTAACTATGAACCTCAATTCATGGCGCGTCAGTTCGGCTGTTGCCAAGGTATCCCCGGACCCGTCGCGGGTCCCCAAATAATTTTTCAAAGTCCCGACCGACGAGTCCTTCCTAATTCAATCCCTTCTTATATCTCCCAGCTTACCACGTATATAATTTCCAATTCTTATATTCCCTTCCGCTCCAACCCTGAGAGTGTAGATACTTTCAATGAATGGTGGTCGGTCGTATGGTCCCTGATATCCCCTGATGAGGGTCGGTTGCTGAACGTACTCCTCCCTCCCCAAGGACTGGTTCTAGGGGCGGCGATACATACTAGCACCCAAAAACAAACAACCGCCCCGGGAATCGGATCTGGGGGTCCCACGCGCAAAAGAAAAACTTCCCAGCTGCAAACACCCCCGACCTCGGAGACCGACCAGCAAACACTAGCAGACCTTGGAATAACTAGGACGTCAGCAAGGACCCGACCCCGAATTGGTAATGTTTCTTAACACCGTGAACCAATTCACTATATCATAACTTTGATTTCACTCATTTCATTCCCCAGAACCGACCTTGGTGACACCGACCAAGCAACCGACGCCAGCACCAACCGACCATTCAATCGGGCCTTTGGTCCAGACCAATTTGCCAATGAGCAGTCGGGCGGAGGACCCGACGCGGAGGCAAACCCCTCCTCCCGTACCGAGGAGTGGTCGGGCCAGGCCCCCGACCAGGAAACAATCTTTACCAACAGTGCCTATAGAACCAGTAAGTTCCCTATCAGCAAGACTTAAGATTCGGATGATCAACCTTAATATATTTAACAACAAACATCTTCATGATTTTTCCATAGACACCTTCACCCATCCCATCAGCAGCAGGGGTCTCTTCTGACAGCGAGGGGACTACTTCCCAGATGGGTCGGCCGTCATACATGGCATCAGACTCATCTATATCAAAGGAAAAACCAGCCGCCCTCGCCGAAGCTGACCCTCAGAACGACATCCCTGATGCTGCTGATCCCGAAATCGAAGGTGCCCCAGAGATCCTGGCTGCAGTGGCTCTAGATGTAGCCGTCCAACCTGCAACCGCCCTACCAGCAGCGGCGCCCCCCCTAGCCATCGAATGGCAGGCAGAAGAACCACCTGTGGCAGCCCAACCTCCAGAAATGGAAGAAATGTCTTCATCCGATTCGGAGACTTCTGTGAATTTGGTAAGATTAAACCAATCCAGGTCATAACTTTTCTTTCGAAAAACACTAACTGTTTCCAATACTACTTTCCATAGGGACCCAGGTCGGCACCTCAGCGACCATTCGCAGCAGCCGACGAGTCGGCTGCTGTTATACCAGCTGTCTGCCCAGCTCGACCGACCTCATTGCTACCCCCCTCACTGACAACAGTCCGCCCAGAGGTACCACATATCTTCTTTGAACAAATTTGCAACCCCCTTTGTAACAACAACTGACTTAGTAATCCATTTTTTCTTTCTTCTCTCAAAACAAGGATCACCTTTCAATTCCCAGCTTTATAGGAAACGAACCAAACTCCTTCTTTAAAAGCACACTGTTTCTCACATTTTAAGAAACATATTCCCAGGCATATTTTAAAAATCAAAACACTGAAAGTGTGAACAAACATGGCGAATGACCGACCTCATGTTCCATCAAGCAACTGGGAGGGTGTTCTTCAACCCTTCTTTGTAGGTAATCACCCTATTGGAGGCCATGCAGAAGACTTGTTATATATACTCAAGCAACTAGACTTCAAATTCCGATTCTCCCAACGAGGTAGAAGAACTATTCATCGCGTCATCCGCCTGATGGAAAAAGTCATTGAGGGGTATGAACCTCTTCGTGACATCCTCAGCCGCATCCCTGATCTCCATCATCACATGGAAATGATTGAAAATCATGCAGCAACCATACTTCCAGACCTTGGTTGGGATAACATATTTTCCAATCAACGAAAAGTCTTTTCAAGATTGCGTACCATTGTTGACCGTGAACATCAAGCCCTAACAGACATGCAAGCACGTACCCACCAAGATCTAGATGACATGCAAAGCCAATGGGAAAGGTCCCGACCAGACTTGGAAGATCTTATTGAAGAAGAACCAGAGCTAATATCCACTCACTGGGATGAAAAGTCTGATTCA